TTTTATAGAGTAGCAGGAAATTATTATAATGTCGATAGTGAAATTAATTGCTGAACCGTCGTTTTGATGAGTTTCGCAAACTTAGTGTTAAATACCATTTCACATTTTATATACCTTAAAAAAATAACCTACCATTTATATACCTTGACATTTTATAGAGTAGCAGGAAATTATTATAATGTCGATAGTGAAATTAATTGCTGAACCGTCGTTTTGACGAGTTTCGCAAACTTAGTGTTAAATACCATTTCACACTTTTTATACCTTAAAAAAATAACCTACCATTTATATACCTTTTATAGAGTCGCAGGAAATTATTATAATAGTCGATAGTGAAATGAATTGCTATAACTTGTCGGAATAAGGGAAGAAAAATAGAACCTCGATTTTTATCTCTAACATTAAATTTATTCCCAACTGGTACACTAAATTTCGACTTAAAGTAACTTCAAATTCCTAGCAGCGAAGATTCGCCGACTGCCACATTGCCGCCATCTTGTTCGACCCTCTTCAAGTTCGATAAATTCATTTTGTCTTCAGTGGCCTGCCACTCATCGGCATAAACTGGTCTTACACTCGCATCGTAACTATTACGAAGATAATTCTTGGATTCATCAGGCTTCACACTGTCCACATTATCAGCGCTGTAATCTCGAGGAGCTACGTTCTGATAGGAATCACTGACGTCATCGTAGTTCTTCGAATAAACCGGAGGCTTCTGATCGGTACCGTTTCCCACGGTGCTGTCATTATTACTCAAATAATTATACGTCTGCTCGTGGCGACTCGAGTTCCAGTTTGTGACATTATGGTTCATTAAAGAATTGCCACCATTGGTGGTGTCAATGGTGCCTGGATCAGAGGACTCGCCTGTTACGAGCGACGAGTTAGCGGTGTGATTTGTCGTGTCGTAATTTGCGGTTATGAACCGTCTACCGAAGCTGCGGCCCCAGCCACCGCCATAACCGCCGCCTCCGCCACCATAACCGCCGCCACCACCGCCGCCGCCTGATGGAACGCCGTAGCCGCTTGACGGAGGTGGGCCATAACTGCTCGGAGGAGGCGCACCGTAACTGTCCGATGGTCCGCAACAGCCTCCTCCTCCGCCGCCGCCTCCGCTGGATTTTGTGAGGAGAACGATCTCTTTGTACTGGCCTGGAAACGTTAATAATATTAACAGACGCACAAAAGTTCATTAAACACTTCCCCGAATTTTTCCGAATTTTTCTGGACATTTTACCTCCGCCCCCGCCGCCGCCGCCGTAACCACCGCCACCTTTCATGTATTTGTGCATCAGCATCGCCATCGAGATCATCAAGGACATGCCCGACATCATCATGCCCTTCACCGTTGCTATTCCTATTGTTTTGTAAACAAAATACGATCAGATTTCTTCAGAGAGAAAATATCTGTAATTTAAAAATACCAAAAGAAGAAGGTTAGACACTTTACCCACGATCTTCATTTTGAGCATCATCAGACCGGCCATCATCATCATCTTGCATTTTCCACCGCCGCCTTTGCCACCGCCACCCCCTCCACCGCCACCTCCTTTGCCGCGACCTACGGTAAACGGAATCTCATTGATCTTGTTAATCAATTATTTCCCGCCGAACCAACCTTCCGATAGAGCAGTCTCGTCGAACATAAGATCGATCTGATTCTTCTCTCGCTTCCCGTTCCATCTGGGCAGCGTGATCCTCAAAGCAAACGTGTCGAAGAAGTCGTTCACACTGCGCTCGATGCTCTTGTTCGTATCGTTGTTGGATGCGCGATCGTTCGCCACCCTGGTCTTCACTAATTTAATCTCCTGCCCCATCAGATAGATCTCGTTCAGGTTCTTGATGGCGTCCAGGAACAGACCGAAGCGTTTCTTCGCGCAGCTCAGCGAGAAACTGATGATGCAGTAGCCGATGTCCTTCGTCGGGAATTCCGGGAAACCGTCGCTGCTCTCGTTCTTCGGGGAATTCGTCCTCGGCGATGGTACTATTCTCATGTCCACGCGGAAGCCGTTCCTCCGGATGTCGAATATTTGCCGGCCGGCGCTGATGGGAATCGAGGATACGAGGTTTTAGTAGGTGACTAAAGTGATAGCGATGCGCAATAACTGATAAGCGAGTCCTAGTTTACAGACTTCGATAACTGGCGGAACAAATTACGCCGGAGACTTCAACGCGCGGTAAGAGAAACTCTAAGCTGGAGACTTCAACGCCTGTCGAGAAAATATAACCTCAACGTTGGAGACTCGAGTGACAAGATATGGTCACTCAAAATGAGAACTCAGCTTCAACAATTTTTTAAGAAACATTCTGTTTAATATTTCAATGATAGATAGAGAACTAGTGTTGTTTTGGACCCTCCAAGCATTATCTTGCAATGTAAAATAATAGTAATAGTAATAGTAATAGTAAATAAAATTAGTGTTGTTTTGGACACTCCAAGCATTATCTTGCAATGTAAAATAATAGTAATAGTAATAGTAATAGTAAATAAAATTAGTGTTGTTTTGGACACTCCAAGCATTATCTTGCAATGTAAAATAATAGTAATAGTAATAGTAAAATTAATGTACATTAATAATTGTACAGTAATAAATATCGTGACCTTTAAGTAGAAGAATAAAAGAGAAATCAAGTTCAATACGAATTAATAACCAAACACCTTGATCGATGTTTAATTTCGAAATGCATACGTTTTTGTTCAAAAAAGAAAGCTTATACAGTTTCCCGAATCTTTTAACCCTTTGCACTCGAAGCCATTTTAACTGTAAATCTAAATTAATTTTTCTGACTTACGGTATTTCCATTTTATATGACAAAGTGCATTCTATGCATACGAAATTTATAGTCTTGCGACTCATACGACAGTTAGCTTTTTAACAATTTTTTACATGTAGACTTTTATAATATAAAAATGATCTTGCAGCGTGATGTAACAATTTTAATGGTGCCTTGGAGTCACCACTCGAGTGCAAAGGGTTAAAACAGAAACCAATCCGAAAAGGTGCGCAGTACTATTGTCTAACAGCAGATCCGCCGAATCCATAAGGATCCGTATGCTTGTAATCCTTGGCGACCGCAGTTTCATCGCTTCCATGGCTGCGAACGACGCTCAACAGCAGCACAAACACGACGAACATAGGTTCACGCACGGTCCACGGTGTAAACATCGATTCGCGACGGCCAACGACAAGATGCTCGATCCCGTGTTTGCCAGATGATCGAGAGACTGATCCGCATCGAGCTGTAAATTCGTTTATATACAATGAGATTTATGTCATCCGTCGAATTTTTCCAGCGTTTCGTCACGATTGTCATTTGCCTGCCGCCTGGGCAAATAGCTTAATGATAACTCTGGCCAGTGAATTCGTCCCCGCGGTAACGCGGGAACCGAACAGGATGCGGCGTTTCGAGATTTCCGGGACAACTTGTTGACTGCGACGATGTTACGCTTTTCGCGTTATCGGGGAACAATTATTATTCTATTCGAGACGTCGTATTATTCGTTGCTGATATTAATGCCGGAGAGATGACAATGTATTCGCTGTCTATCTACTGTAACATTGAGTAAATCGATGACTTTGATGTGGTTTAAAAAATAGGCTGCAAGAAATAGGATTCAAAGATTTTAATTTTATTGACCGAAATTTTAATTTCCCGTAGTATGTTTTAAATTGCACGAAAAAGATTAATTCCTGTAAAGATCTGCGATTCAATTGTCAGCTAAAAAAATATGAATAATTAATACAATATTAAAGCCAGAAAGACAAAAATATATTTAAAAATATATATATACTGTAACATTGAGTAAATCGATGACTTTGATGTCGTTTAAAAAATAGACTGCAAGAAATAGGGTTCAAGATTTTAATTTTATTGACTGAAATTTTAATTTTCCGTAGTCTGTTTTAAATTACACGAAGAAGATTGATTTCTATAAAGATCTGCGATTCAATCGTCAGCTAAAAATATGTGAATAATTAATACAATATTAACGCCGGAAAGATAAAAATATATTTAAATATATATATACTGTAACATTGAGTAAATCGATGACTTCGATGTCGTTTAAAAAATACACTGCGAGAAATAGGATTCAAAGATTTTAATTTTATTGAACGAAATTTAAATTTTGCCTAGTCTGTTTTAAATTACACGAACAAGATTGATTCCTGTAAAGATCTGCGATTGAATTATCAACTAAAAAATGCAAATAATTAATACAATATTAACGCTGGAGAGATAAAAATGTATTTAAAAAAATATATATATAATATATTTACTATGTAACTGCTGTAATATATTGGCCAACCTGCACCGACGACTTTAACGACTTCAATGTGCAATATATATGATAATTTAATGTAAATTAAAAAATTATGCATTCCTCTGTCGTCTCACAAATTTGGATTTTCTCGACCAAATCTTAAGTTCGAGTGTAGCATCTTCTCGAAAATTAATTGAGAACAGCATTTCGGTTTCCAGCTAAGAAACATTGTTTCAGAAAACGTTGCGAGAGTTCCTGTCAAGCGACGACCACGAGAGCACACACGATCGACGGTGTCGAAGGTAGCCTAACTCACGGCGTTGTGAAGGGGACGACCTTGTTTCGTAACACTCTAATTGGGAGGTACACCCACCCGAGAATTGCAGTGGTTGCGTACGATTTCCACGACGATGCATCCAATCGAACTGGATCCTTCCTATCGAGCCGCCGTCTCTTTCTCTCCCAGCCACGGGCAGAACGGTGGAAAGGAAAATTTCGCGGAAACATTATCGTATCGGCAGCAATTTTCTACATTCTGTCCTCCTTTCGCTGGAATTAAACCGAAGCAAAGCGCGCAGCCATCGAATCGGCGCTTCTTCCTTTCTAAATTCCAAATCCTGCTCACCTAAATCGACGCGCCTACAAAATAAATGATCGTTTAGAGAGACCGCCGCGCCGCTCCGGCCGCGGCGCGGGGAAGCGAGCTTTGTTCTTCGAGAGGAAGGGGCGGCGATTTTTCGAAACGATTTTTATTAAAACTTTACAATGCATTTAATATAAATAACAATGGAGAATCATGTACATGATCCGAACGACGCAACGGCGCTCGCAATAAATACCTACGAACCTATGGATAACTGTAACGGTGATAAAACGCAGGGCGATGAAATGAGACCAGGCGTGGCGCAGGGGAGCTACCGGATAGAACGAGCTAGCGAGCGAGAAGAAAGCGAGACGAATGGTGCGAGAGGACCTGAAACATGGATCGTGGAGAACGGCGGGGAAAAGCTAGGACCGGAGAAAGACAGAAAAAGAGAGAGAGAGAAAAAGAGAGGGAATGAGAGAAAGAGAAAGAGGGGAAGAGCAAGAGAGGGAAGAGAGGAAGGAAGAGGAGTGACCGGTTGCTAGATCGACAGACGAATCGTGAGGTGTTGGGGGAGACGAAGTGTAACTCGGTGAGGTAGAGACGTGCTGCTGAATCTCTCGCGCGCCGTCAGCTGTTCCCTGACGGCTCCTCGATGATGATCGATGACGGATGAACGATTTCAATTGAGTCGGATCGAGCGACGGTCCCGCGCGTTCCCGTACTTCTTCACAGCCTGCTCGATGGTCTCCTGGACCGTGTCCAACGATCTACCGTATCCAGAGTGACCGTACCCGTGGCCGTGGTGCTCCTCGGAGCTGTGGGTGTGCGAGCTAGAGTACACCGGCTTGCTCACGATCTCGTAGGTGGTCTTCTTCTCGCCGCCGCTTGCCAGCGACTTCAGACCGATGATGGCGGACAGCATCAAGGACATCAGACCGGTCATCAGAGCTTTACCGGCCAGCAGAGCCAGGGCGCCGAACCCTATCGCACCCAATGTGCCCTTCATCATCATCAGGCCCGCCATCAGGCCGCCGTAGCCGCCCTTGTCCTTCTTGCGACCTGCGGAGAGAAGAATCATCGAGAAATTAGATCGTCGTAGACGCGAGAGATCCGATAGGATCTAGAAGCTAGGCGCGTGTCAGCTTTTAAGTTGACTATCGTTGCACGACGTCGATAGAAAAAAGCTTTACAATCTTCGTCTTCGAACGATCGATCTATCTTGGTCTAACGTAGTTAACAACAGTTCAATCGAGCCATCGGTCGCTTATATTTAGTCATCGGGACAGGATGTACAGCTTCATCACTGGGGACTCGACGTTGGGTCTTTAATTTCAATTTAACCTTGACACAAGCGAAGCCAACTCACCAGTTCCAACATCCTTGGTTCCTCCGAGCCCCAGCTGCGCCAGAGTCTCCTCGTTAAAGCTCCTGGCAGCCTCGAAGGTCCTCGGGTCGAACAGCTTGATGGAGATGGAGTGGCTGTTGAGGTAGCTGCCGACCTTGTGCACCAGGTAGGCATCCAGCCTCTTCTCCACGTCGTTCGGGAAGTCTCTGGCCAGGTTGGCCACGACTTCGGAGGCGGGCAGATTGGCAGAGCCGTTCTCCTTGATCACGGAGACGCCGGGCAGGATGCTGATGTCCTCCTGCTCGGATAGCCTGTCCAGGAAGGACACCACGTCCAGCTTGAGGCAGGTAGCACTGTACGACTTGCCGCAGTCCTTGTTCAGGGTCGAGGCCAGGGTCTCCGGCGACTCCTCGACCATCTGCTTCGCGGTGCGTCTCTCGATCTCGGCAAAGGCGCAACCGATCAGCGCGAGAACGACCACGGCGTACGCCTGATGATGCCTGAGTCCCTTCATAGCGACGACAATCGGGGTTTGGTCTGGTGAGACGAGGAGTTCGAGCCCTGACCGTGATCCTGTGCTGCGCGTCCGGTGGCTGCTGAGCCCGTGAACGATCAGACTACGTTAGAAGCCGAAGGACTCTTCCTCGCTCGAAGCTGACCGACGAGGCGCGTACCGTGCACTGGACATACCCTCGGATAGTTGCAGTATATATAGAGCGAGCCACCGGGTAGTCCTTTTTCCTTTTTGCCTTTCGGCCCGTTCCATACATTCTCCGTAGTCGAGAGCACCGCCGCGAACGTGCTCTCCTCTTTGCGGACGTCGGAAGAGGGGCCCTCTCGCTCGCGGCCGACGCCGGCATCAAGGCGAGCACGAGGCGAGAGGGAGCGTCAAATAGAGCGGAGAACTCGAATCTCTGTCGAATTTGCACGCCTCCGCGGAGGGAAAAAAAAGGGCGCCGGGGGGACGCTCTAATGAGAGCGAAGCCTTCGGACCCATTCGGACGATCGGTCCCAGCGAATTCGCCACCCGACCACGCCGGACATAACTTTCTTCCTTCGCGAGTCCGTCTGCTCCAGAAACCTATCGGTACGGCACGCCGCCGTGGCGAATCTCCCTGGCCGAAACACCTCGAATCCGCCGCCTAATCCCTGAAATCCTCGGTCAAATTGGGGAAAGCCTCTGTCGAAAATCTCTGCCAAATCCTCCGTGAAATCGTCTGCTAAAATGCTCGACCGGATCGTTGAAGTCAATCCTATGTTCAAATCCGCAGTTGAATCGGTGCAGTCCTCGACCAAATTGATCAACTTATCTCTTGAAATCTTCAACCCAATTGACGTAATTCAGTGTTAAAATTCTCGGCGAATGTTTGTCGATGATTATTAAATCCATTTGGAGTCTTCGTGCCTATATGACTCGAAATTTGACTCGACTAGATCGCGGATCTTTATGCAGAATAAAAATTGTTCGTGCAGATTGAAAGAAACAGAGGCTCAACAAAAATGTATTTCTCCTCCTAATGATTTTCATAAGTTTAGAGTAACATAACGGTGTACGTCAATTCTTCCAATGTTCCCACTAATTTTTATTTTATCTATCGATTTTTGTCATAGCAGCATCAAATCCGCGGTCTAATTATTGCAAATCGAGTACTGGTCTATTAATTCTATACATATTTAGTAATTCTGTATATATTTAGTACTGGTCAATATAATTCAATGTAATAGAATTATTAATTGCCTGCCTGCCCATCAAATGCAGCTCAACGACGCAGCACAAGACGAGCATCGTGTGAACGAAAATGTTAACGACGGTCATTGTCGTATAATAGTACAACTAAATACCGTTTCAATTAACATAGGATATGCAAGTAATTTTCATTTCAGACTTGCATTGCTTCTACAATTTAGGAAGATCAGATCGAGGGAACTATTTCATGAAGAGTACTATAATTTGTAAAAGCTTCGATGCGATATAAATATTTAAAATATCCTTTATCGAGATTGCAAAAGTCCTGCATGTCTCCATCCTGCGCATAAATGAATTTATGCATCGTCGATTTGTACATCAATATCGCATATCGTCGTCGATTGTTTCTTATTCCAGGAATGCGTCGCCATTTTTATGTACGCCCCTCTTTTTCTCATTCGAGCTTACTAAGTACGACAAATCAATTATCATCTGAAAATGGTAAATGTGAAGCCAAATACAGGACATGTAATGATATCGTGATTACACGACCTCGAGAACGAGATTCTAGTGATCCACGGATTGGACAGATCGCGTGTCGAGTACACACTGCAATTAACCTTAGCATGCTTTACCAGACGATTCCATTACTTGCTACTCGCGAGTAGAGACCCGCGATCATCTTTAATTAAGGTGCAGGGAGTAAATAAAAATGTCTAGTTCCTACAGCCAACTTCAAGAGGTTGCGCGTAATGCAACAGCGTCTTGATCCACTGTTAATCGTTTTACTGTTCTATGATTCATTCATTAATTTTCACTGTCGATACATCAATCATTCGGCTTATTATGTCTGTTCATTAAGATCGTGCAATTCTATCGTAGACAATAATTTAACGAAGGAAATAAAATATTAAATATACTGTTCGACGTCGGCATGTTGAATTTATGGACAAACGAAGCAATCTTCAGACGTACAATTTTGTGTAAATAACTCTGAAAAGGACGATTTTAATATTCACGAGGATCTTGACCACTCTGTTGACAATGGTCGGACTTGAGTAATATAACGTTAATAATTAATATAATATAATATAATTAATTAATATATATAATATGTTTGAAATTTAACATAGTTGTTTTACAAGGAGATAGAAACAGCTCGTAACGAAAATTTCCACACTTAAAACGTTCAAGCAGCCTAAAAGCAATTTTCAAAAAATTACGACAACTCGCGAATGTTTGATTGCAATTAGGGGATGCACAGGGATGGTACGACGAAATTCTCGTAAATCTCGGATCGGCCGTGATGCAGGACGTCGTGAACCAAACGGGAACCACTTTCGATCTCGACGACGAAACCGAAACGGCCTCGGGGCGAACAAAGATGCCGCGCGGTCAAATCCGGCCCCGTATTGGGCCCCGGATCCGTCACCGGGGCCGCGGAAAATCCGCGAAGGTTTCACGTGGCGACGGGAGGACGCATTATTTCCCTCGGCTGAGCGAAACGAGACGGAGGCCTACTTTAAATTAGCCCAGTTAGCACGCGGGAGATCGGATTTTCGCGCGCCACGCTCGAACGACGGCGCTTCAGACGGATCTGACGGCGAGAAAGTGCGCTCGTCCAATTTTCACGGACGCCTCGCAGCTATACTAGCGCGAGCCTAACACCCTGATCACGCCTTGGAAGTCGCCCATTTCCTGTGTTTGTTTCCGCTAGCTCGCCCCTTTCTTTTCCCGCGAACATCCCCGAAACGTATAATTACTTCCTGAACCTACAATCATCCCTCCGAAACATTCGCCAGATCTTTCGAAAAATTTAGAGGATATTCTTCTAATTCTGCTAAAATATTCAATTAATTTACTGCTATTTTCATTTCATTTATTTAGCGCTTTCATAGGGCGAAGCCTTTGTTCCACAAGACAAAGAAATGAAGTTTTAAAAGAATTAGCTGACTTGGATTAGGAACCAGTTAAAATGTTAAGAGGTGAACGAGGTGAATGAACTCTTGTAGAAATCTAGTGTGTCGCAAAAAAGGTTACAGTTTGCAATTAAGTGATTTAGACAATTAAGACGATTGTAAAGAGTATGGTGAATCCCAATTTTCCATTCTAGTACCGCCACCCTGGATAGATGCTTTCCGTATCAACATTTTCCTGCAAGTAATCTTTCAGATAAATCTTTGGATTTTATTAAGCTTGATTGCAGCGATTTTTACAGAGACTGTTTAAGGATTGTTGGAAGATCATCACGGTTCTTTTTCACTTCTGTTGACTTCTATTTATCCAATGCAGAAGACATTTGTACATATCGTAACAACTTCCTTTTCTATCGTTTACCTCGATTCACCTAATAAACCGAACATAAACAAGTAGAATAGACGTGTTAAATTATCTCTAAATTGTAGAACTTTACGCAGTCACCGATTCTCCTGAACTTTATTATTGTCAAATTATTTCTAAACTGTAGAACTTTACGCAAGCTCCGATTTTCCTGAACTTTTTCATTGAAATTGGGATATAAAAACTAGAAAATCCGTCCTCGTCTAGAACATTTTCTATGAAACGAATAAAACAAAATACATTATCAATTCTTCGTTCCACGGTACGTTCCACTGCACTTCGCGATCGTATGCATGTCTCTCGTGTATGCGCAAAAATGATGCCTTTCGATTCGGAACATATGTTCGGTCGGCGACGGTGGAAACGAAAATAGAGGATTCGTTCGAAGCGAATTTAATTAGAAGGCAGCGGCAAGCAAATGTAATACAAGTTAGCTACATGGTTCACGAGTCTGATTAAACATGCAGTCTCAGTCCAATAACGATCGGTTCCATTGTGCGAACACGGTGAACGCGTCCACGAAACAAAGTCATCCGCGGCTTCTCCCGTTCGTTCCTTTTTAAGCCGGCGTGTTCGCCGCTGACATGTTCCACAGAGGGAATTCCAGGCTACGCATTCCGTTCAAATTGCATTTAATTCGGTGAAGCGCGGGACGACGGGAAATGCTTTGCGCGATTTCAAGTAAACGCTGGCCACGTGAACGGCGGCGCTTAACGTCGCTGCGCGATGGTATTTCGCGCGTGTACACAGAAGACGATGCGCTCGCATGCTCGGCCAGCAGGTGTGTCGGAAAGGAGCGGATTAGCCTTCTTCCAGAGCCGGCTATTTCGCGACTTGTTACTTCCTTTTACCGCAACGCCTTCCTTTCGTTAATAATCGTACGATCTCCTGCTCCTGTTTCGAAACGATCCGGCCAAGAGTCGGCCAGTCGCTCGAAATCATGGAATCACGGCCGGTGCAGACACTATGGCGAGCGCGACTACTATCCCCCATTCACGCGCGATCGTCATCCTCCTTAAATTCCTGTCCTCTCAATTTTTTAACCACCGCGATTGGCGCGAGATAATGAACCGCGCCGTTCCATCGTGCGCAAATTCCATCTTTGTCCGAGCCGTGGAAGATTTTCCTTTTTAATTGCATCGGCATGAATGATGCACTTCATTCATGATTAGTTCTCGGCGATCTTAGTCTCCGTCGCCTTTCAATCTTACCATCATCTTACAACTCCTGAGAAAATTAACTGCGAGATTCGAATTAACCGAGATCGAGCATCATTTTCTTTCAAATTACTGTTCCATGAAAGCAGTATTTTGTTCTCGTTAATCATTTATCTGTTTTCAAAGTATGCAGTTTCAATCGTAATTTCAGTGAATATGTTCGTAAATGAAAATATTAAAATATGTTCGTAAATTATAAGATGTTTTGAATATTTGGAGACCAAGACGAAATGAAACGAACGAATAAAAGAGTACAGATTATTATTATGAAAATATTGTACACGGTGTGAACAAATAGTTGTTTGTTACATTGCAACACACTCCAGGTATACACTTTAATCCCGGACATGTGAACAATAAGCTTGCTCCTGTACCAATTGCGTTACAGAAACCATAAGTTTCGTCAGCGTACAAAAATCAATTTTTGAAGTTCTTGAAGGTTTTTTTTTATATACTTCGCGTAGCAGACGGATCTGCGCCGTTTGAACGAAAAGGGTGTATTAAGAGTAATCGGCTATGGCTAAGAATTCGGTTTGATTGGATTTCCGGCGATCCGGAGCCTTTCCAATCCCCCTCGACGCGATCGATCTCGAATCGTGCCGCGAGTGAAACGTAAATAGATGCACTCGTCGTCGTAACTGTTCCTTGCATACTGTTGCAGTCGCTAATATTCTATTCGGTGCGCGATCGAGTATACTGAACGAGGCAAAAATTCTCTCGAGCTATAGATCGATCGGCGTCGACCGATCGACGAGCGACCGTGAAAAACTGTCAACGATCGCTCGACGTCCCGCAGGCTATTCCACTTTCCGAGGCTTCGAAAGCGAAAATTAAAGCGTTTCGAAGCCAATCAGCTTCACGGCCGATTTGCGAGCTCGTAAGCGGTCCTTAAGTCGGCCACGGTACGTTTCACGAGGCGATTATCGACGGAGATGATATTACAAAATACGATAAAATGGGGCTTCTATAAAACTGCATCGAGTTTGCTGCTCGTCGGAGCAACAATTTATTCTTACTGCTCTTAAGATCGTTCGAAACAACGCCTGAAGAGTGAAATGAAAAAAACGATATTTACGTTGAAGAATAAGACGCAGATTTTATGAATTTATATTCGTTAATCTTTTCGCATTTCGGGCAAAGTCCGACATGTTATTATTTGGCTACTTACGACATCTTTTTCTGTGACTAATGTTTATCTGCGCGCAATAAATTTGTCTCCGGTATTATTTATATTCCTTCTGCGAATGAATTTGAGAATGATATTTGGAGAAATTGCGTGGCACGTGCCGTTAAGAATAAGCTGAACGTAGAATGGAAAATAATGTATTCGAGATTTAATACGATTTTCATTTTAAACGAGTTCGGCGGATGTTTGACGAAAATGCAACTATGCAATACAATCTGAGACAGTAAAAATATTTGAGGAGGTCAACACTAGATTTACGGAGCACAAGAAACAGTTATTTTATATTAATTTATAAAAGTAACAGTAAGATAACATTTGCCATGAATAACATAAATTGAATAAATAACTCATAAATGTATCTTCACGATATGAATAATCGTAAATCAAAACATTAGTGTCCCGTCATTTTGATGCGATCCGTAAATCTAGCGTTAAAGGACACCATCAATTTTCTACAAATCTGTCCACATAAAAACCCGCTGTTTACGACATTCTACGTGTATCCGACGTTAATTACCGAGCCGATCGAAAGCAGCATGCTTTCGACTTCGTAGAAACTGGCATGTAAACCAGAAAAAGGAGGATCGACGGCGAGGATCGATCGAATTCGATCCATTCAGCCGCGACCTCCGATTTTACGCGACTGTCCCTGTCTAAGCCGCAATTAGGCCAACCCGCGTTCCTGGCCGTGCCAGCTTTTTTGCATTGATTTTTGCTCCCGATCGTTGGCGGATCCGCCGATCGATCTGCCCGCGTATTACACATTCGAAACGGCGAGCGTAATTGCGCCTGGGCTCGCTAATAAACCGAAGGATCCGTCTCCGGCACCATTCTCGCCTCGAAAATCGACGCTGCCACGAGAAAGTTAACGCTTACCCAGCGATTTACGAGGCTTCCCCGAACATAGATCCGCGCGATCCACGGAGGAAATCGATCGTTCCGATGGTGAATGGATCGCGGTTCCGAAACTGTATCGCGGGCGAACGGAAGACTGTGTGTCTGACCACGACGGCTGGATCTACTGCGACCGAGATACAGTAATTTCTCCCTAATTCGCGCTCAGATTGCGCACAAAAATGAACTATTTAGGAGGAGGAGATACGATTGTCCAGTTTTGTGCGCAATCTGAGCGTGATTAGGGAGAAAATACTGTAAATGGTTTCATAGTATTCCATATAAGTGTACGGTACATACAAATTTTAAAAACACAAGTACAGTTATTGTGCTCGAATAATATGAAACAAATTGATTAAATAAATTGATTTAATTTCACACAAAATTGTACTAAATTCTAGTAAGCGCATTCTATTAGATTGCAAGATAAAATCTTCCTTGTTATATAATTATGATCGTGTAACAAAAAAAATCTATAATCATTTTATTCTCTTTATAATTCTGTGTTTGCTTCTGTTTTAATTGTAGCTTTCATTATTTTACTACTTCGATTGTTTACGAACGATTTTAAACAGTACTCATTTCTTAATCATCTGCCGACTCTTCGTTAAGACAACTCATCGTGTCTGTTCAGTCTCAAGTAAACAACTCTAAATAATCAAATCTCCGATTTCTTTATAATTCACCGATGATAGAAAAAACGAGTAAAAAATCCTCGCATTTCGAGATCCACGGATATTATACCAATTCATAAGAAATCGTCCTGTTTTCTAAACATTATCCCCTCCGAATTCCAGGTCTCATCTCTCATTTGGAGATTATTAGACCTCGAAATCTCCAGTATTAACGAATACTCAGCATCACATTAAGAGCGCGGCGAACTCTCATGGAGCTTCGCACGCGTTTCTTTACGGAATCGATGATCGGGATGGATCGTTAATGTCTCCGAAAGCAGGCCTGAGAAATGTGCATCCGCGCCAATTCCCCGGTCGTTCATGGTCACGCGCGCCCGTCGACGGTTCACGCGTCTAATATTTCCGCGACGCATCGTTCTGTGCAAGTGCATCCATGCAGCCGCGTTTCATCGAGCCGTGGGTCCGGCGAAACGAGAAAAATCCAGGGTGGCGACTGGCCGAGCCGCCTAGACCTCGTTCATTCAAGAACGAGCATCCGTTATGCGCTCGGACACCGTCTCACGCGTTCGTCTATCTTCGTTGCAGCCGATGTCGGCTGTTCAGAACCCGCGAGTGCATTCTGATGCAGTTCTACGAACGAAGCGCCATCTGCAGCGATTCCGCGATGCACTCTGGAAAGCGGGTGCTGCTGGAAACGGAAGTAGCTTCTGAGAAGCGTGCAACGATCGTGGGAACTGCATCGCAGGGAGTATGCACTTGCGCGGTGCAGCACGGTGCTCTGAGAACAGCGCGATGTGGGGGGATGAAAAATTATGCTTTGAGAGGAACATAGCTGGAAATCTTTTTGAACGAGTTAAGGGCACTTTCAGGGCACTTTTGGGGCACTTTTAGGGTACTTTTAGGGCACCTAGATGTAATAGCTAGTACAGAGCTTACAACTTCCCCAAAAATTCCAGGATATAAAATTAATTGAATAATTCAATTTTTTAAATAAGTTCGACGATTCTTTGCCTAAGGACTGAAATATCCCGTCCCATAATTTCAACTTTCGTCGACCTAAATATTTGAAAAATTAGTAGAAGAATAAAGAGATATCCTGAACGCTTCAGGGAGCAAGTCCAAGTGCCAGTGAAAATGGTGCAAGGTTCTAGAGACCCTAAGTATCAGCAGAGTGTACGAGATCCTAGAAGAAACCCGATGACCGACCGTCATGCATCAGGCTTATCGATCAGCTAAGCGACGTTCTCGAAGCTCGGCTCGGTGGCTCTTGACGGTGCTGTCCTCTCGGCCGTCTCGTATATACCCGAGACCGTTGCCCTCTCCTATCCACGCGGCATGGTCACAACCGATCCCGTTAGGCTCGCTCTCCCCGCCCCGAGGAGTCAGTGAACGCCGGCTGAGAGGCAATGGCCGGCGTGGTGGGGGTCCACGTGGAGGTAATGACCCACTGACCGTGATCCTGAGGATCCACCGAGGGGGAAACAGGGCCGGCCAATCGGAGTCACGGTCAGCTTTCCCACCTTTCCCGTCACAGTGACCCCGATTCCTTCCTCTTCCGACTCTCCCACCTGTTCGCCAGACCGACGGGCTCTCTCCCCACCTGCAGCTGCATTCTCTCCCGCCCGCGTTCGCCTTCTATTTGGGTCGTTAGCCTTCTCCCCCTCCCCGACACCCGGTTAACCTGCTTACTCGCGCCATTATAGATTTCCAATTCTTCGTTTAATCATTTTTGGCCACGGGCGGCTCGCGCGATGCCGGCCGATAGGGCTGCGAAGGGACTCAAGGCGCTAATAGACGGCAAATCGATGTTAACGTTATTTAAAAAGGTGAATGCTAGGTCCAGGAAGTGGTCCGGAGCTTTTCGAGTAGCTAACCTGGGCTAGATGTCCTGAAATTGTCTGAGAAATCTACGCGAGTGCTTCTAACATTGTTGGGAAAAAGGGTTCGTAGTTCGTTTCTGAAGGTTTCTTGAAGACTGGACGTCCATTCTTCTTTTTTGCTGGCACCCTGCAGACGCAAGCTTGCTGTGGACCGCGGATATTTATGCAAACTAAAAATTTTCATCCCTTGTATCAAACAGGAATTAGATAAAAATGTATTTCTTCTTTCGATGACGTTAATACAGTAAAAGTGATGCTGCATTTTGAAATTCTTTAGCCTTCACTGTTCCGTATTTTGATCGTCCATATTTTGCTATAAATGCATAAAATCCTCAGTCTAATCATAATACTTCCATCGAACTAATTCAGAAAAGTTTGAGAACAATTTAACCCCTTCTCAATAGGGTAAACTGAACACAAGCACGTTGACGCATATGGAAGTAAAAACAGTTCGCAGGGTCCGCAAAGAACATGAACGGACGTGTAGAAAAAGTACCGTGACGTCTTTATTCATCGCAGAGGAGATAATAAATAGAATGAAGGGATGAGGGGATGAAAGATAACGAAGCGTTTACAGTGGCAAGTCCTGGTAAGGATACTGGTCCGGGTTGATTTCCGGCGCCCATCCTCTGTAGGGCTGGTTCACCTCTTCCTGCGACCTGTGCCAGTGTTCATGGTGCACTTCCGGCTTCACGATGCCATAGGTGACCCTGGCAGGATACGCCGGCGGTGGTGTGAGCAGGGCTTTCAAGGCCACAGCGCCGGACAGGAGCAAGGACATCAGTCCGGCGCCGAGTCCTTTCAGCCCGATGAGTCCTATGGCGGCGATCACGATGGGCAGGACAATGATTGCCTTGAGCTTCAGGAGCAGCAACAGCGGCAGGACGATCCTCTTCAGCTTGGTGCGGGCTGGAACGAAAGAGAAACTTGTTGGATTATAAAATATCTGGGAAACATTGGTAATTGGTGGAGCTTTAATTGAGAGGATCAGGGTTTGTCAGGGATTTTTGGGACGTTTCGGGGTAAAATCGATGAGACGACGATGTCCTCGTTCAGTCGTCGAGTGTAAAATGTTGATGAAAATTGTAATAGAGTTTAGGTGGCATTGCAAAGGTTTTTTGTTTGGTGGATTTTTAAGCTTCGAACGAGGACGTTGGTAACAGAGACCGTTAAATCGCGGAGCATCTGCCTTCGAGATACGGACATATTCTACAACAAGGAATATTTTATTTGTGAGATACGAATAATTACAATGGCATACGCGCGATTTGTCACGTATACATATAGCCAGGGGTGTAGGACAGCGCGATGGCGTACGACGGTCGACCAGCGTATTCAATGGATTAAGTGAAATTCGTCACGGCGATTGGTTTCAGCGGCTGGAAGGAGTTTCTAGGAGCCTCTAATGGCCACTTGTCGGCGAGTCTACTTTCTTCGACATGTGGCACTCTCGTTCAAGGTCCTTGTTCGGCGTGTTCTCTCGCCGACCGTCCCAGAAACCCGGAATCCCGCCGGCGGCCCACTTTATCCCGATCCCTCTCTCTCTCTCTCTCTTCCTCAGACCCCTACTTCGAAGACCGCCGCGGCGTTTTCGCGGATGCAGAGGAAGTGGGACGCGTCTTCGCGGCTTTCTTCTGCCGGCCCTTCGTCCTCCTCCTCCTCCTCCTCCCCCGCAACGAGCGCCGATAATCCGCGGCGCGGGGGGAAGCACGCGGGGAAAAAATATCCGGAGGTAATCTAGACGCGCGAAAAGAGGCCGGAGAAAGAGGAACGGGAGACGATGCCAGTTGGCCGGCGAAGCCAATCGGAAGACGTCGCGCCGGAAGTGCCACTTTTCGGCCAATCGGGACACCGGCTCGTGGCTCACTTCCAGCGGATTGGAGAGATGATAGAAAGGCGAGGTACTATAAGATCGAGATCCAGACGCGATCCACGGACAGACCCGAAGTCGGCGAGGGCAGCCGGAGACGGCTAGAGGATTCTGGGGAATCATCGGGCAAGACTATGCCGGGGATCATGAGCATTCTTTTCAGATTTCAGTGGTCCTCGAGTAAGGAAGATTAGCGAGTTAAGATTAACCGAGTTAGTTTTATTTCTTTCGAAAGGGAATTTGTTTAACGATGTTTTTACCGTAATTCTACGCTCGTTTTTTCGAAGTTTGAGTAGATTGTAGGTGATCCGAATAGGGGTTGGAAGTATGCAATGTAATTGTTAGACTGTAATTAGTAGATTGCTGATCTTTATGCGAAATAAAAATGATTCAACGAGCTTATGAGAAATACAAATTGAATAGAAATAAATTGTTTCTCTTAATAATTTTGATAAGTTGAAAACGTTGTAACAAATGCTACTAAATTTTTCATATGCCTTCACAATTTCATATTTCAACTGTACATCTTTGCCATAAACGCATCAAATTCGCAATCTATCTAGTAATTTGAGTCGAGAGAACTGGAAAATTTTAGTGCATCAACTGCTTAGTTAGGAACTTTGATCCTTTCCTTCAGGCTTCCTGTTTCAATTCTTAGGAATTTCTGTCGCATGATGTTAGCAATTTGTTTGAGGAAATGTGGAGAATTCATTCGTCATGCTGAGAATTTATTTTGACGCGTAAGAAGACTTGTCGATAGCACTAAATTAGACCATTATGACGCTGTCACGTAAAGGATTAACTTGACAATAAATGGTACTGCGCGTACTAATTTTTCAATTGCACTTTGAAGAACACGAAGTATCTTCGATTATCCAGGAATCGTTGTTCGTTCAAGAAATGTGTCCGTTTACAGTGGCGTCCTCTAGTTCGAAGGTGTACCGAGTTTTCAAGCTAGTTCTTCGAATGAAAGAGTCTGTGTCTCAGAAGTCAGTTAATTTTGCAAATATTTTTCGATCGGTGTATCCTCTTTTGAAAGTTTCTTTTAAAATTCTAACTTGGTAATAAGCTAACTGCATCTTACAGAATGAGATTCTACATACACAATTAACGAATTAATAGGGTATTGTCTTTAGTCTGGAGTTTTGACTTAGGCCTCTACGGAAATGATTCGTCCTGCTAAAGATACGATTGTTAATATTAAGTAAAACCGATAATACCGTCTTATTGAACGATAATACTTCCAAGATGCAACTGTGATTGACGATCTTATGTCTGTCTCTTATACACATCTAGATGTGTATAAGAGACAGCCTGTAACATTTTGATAAATGCAGTCTCTTATTCTCCTGTCTCTTATACACATCTAGATGTGTATAAGAGACAGCCTGTAACATTTTGATAAATGCAGTCTCTTATTCTCCTGTCTCTTATACACATCTAGATGTGTATAAGAGACAGCCTGTAACATTTTGATAAATGCAGTCTCTTATTCTCCTGTCTCTTATACACATCTAGATGTGTATAAGAGACAGCCTGTAACATTTTGATAAATGCAGTCTCTTATTCTCCTGTCTCTTATACACATCTAGATGTGTATAAGAGACAGCCTGTAACATTTTGATAAATGCAGTCTCTTATTCTCCTGTCTCTTATACACATCTAGATGTGTATAAGAGACAGCCTGTAACATTTTGATAAATGCAGTCTCTTATTCTCCTGTCTCTTATACACATCTAGATGTGTATAAGAGACAGCCTGTAACATTTTGATAAATGCAGTCTCTTATTCTCCTGTCTCTTATACACATCTAGATGTGTATAAGAGACAGCCTGTAACATTTTGATAAATGCAGTCTCTTATTCTCCTGTCTCTTATACACATCTAGATGTGTATAAGAGACAGCCTGTAACATTTTGATAAATGCAGTCTCTTATTCTCCTGTCTCTTATACACATCTAGATGTGTATAAGAGACAGCCTGTAACATTTTGATAAATGCAGTCTCTTATTCTCCTGTCTCTTATACACATCTAGATGTGTATAAGAGACAGCCTGTAACATTTTGATAAATGCAGTCTCTTATTCTCCTGTCTCTTATACACATCTAGATGTGTATAAGAGACAGCCTGTAACATTTTGATAAATGCAGTCTCTTATTCTCCTGTCTCTTATACACATCTAGATGTGTATAAGAGACAGCCTGTAACATTTTGATAAATGCAGTCTCTTATTCTCCTGTCTCTTATACACATCTAGATGTGTATAAGAGACAGCCTGTAACATTTTGATAAATGCAGTCTCTTATTCTCCTGTCTCTTATACACATCTAGATGTGTATAAGAGACAGCCTGTAACATTTTGATAAATGCAGTCTCTTATTCTCCTGTCTCTTATACACATCTAGATGTGTATAAGAGACAGCCTGTAACATTTTGATAAATGCAGTCTCTTATTCTCCTGTCTCTTATACACATCTAGATGTGTATAAGAGACAGCCTGTAACATTTTGATAAATGCAGTCTCTTATTCTCCTGTCTCTTATACACATCTAGATGTGTATAAGAGACAGCCTGTAACATTTTGATAAATGCAGTCTCTTATTCTCCTGTCTCTTATACACATCTAGATGTGTATAAGAGACAGCCTGTAACATTTTGATAAATGCAGTCTCTTATTCTCCTGTCTCTTATACACATCTAGATGTGTATAAGAGACAGCCTGTAACATTTTGATAAATGCAGTCTCTTATTCTCCTGTCTCTTATACACATCTAGATGTGTATAAGAGACAGATATTCGTCCTACTAAAGATACGATTGTTAATATTAAGTAAAACCGATAATACCGTCTTATTGAACGATAATACTTCCAAGATGCAACTGTGATTGACGATCTTATGCAACGATGATTGAGCTATTACGTCCACTAACTCACTTTACATGATGTCGCCTAACTCTCTCCTCGATGGTCTAAGCCTTCAACGTGTGACTTTAATGCATACATCGATCTAGACTCGACTAAAGTCCACCTCAATTTCAATTCGCCATCAGGGTAATCGACCTCACCTTCGGAAGCTCCAGTCGTGAGTCCTTTAAGCTCCATCCCGACCTCTTTCTGTCCCAAAGCTCTGCCGAACATGTCCGCCGAGGATCCATCGTCTGGAAATCGGATCTGGATCTTGCGCGTCCTCAGGAACTTCTCGATCCTGCTGACTAGAGGATCCTCGCTGGTCCTGGCAAGCTCGGGGTCCTCGTCCAGGTCCACTTTCTCGAGGCTGACCATGTCACCGAAGATCTTGATGGTATCCATGCGATTCAAATCGTCCATCGCCCTGGTCAGCTTGGTCTCCATCTGTCCCGCGGACGACCCGTCGTCTGCGACGGCGAGTGCGGCCAACGACAAAACGATCAGCAATTTTCCGTTCATCGTGATTTGGTATCGCGAGGCCGAAGCGAGGATTTTGACTGTTTGCCCCCAGGGGCAATTTTTCTTTTATACGTTGGGACCGTGGCCGGTGGTGGGGCCCAGTTTGAACCATTTGGCAAGCGACGTGCAAGGGCCGCGGTGTCAAGAATATTAATTCGATCGCGTTCGACGGGCGCATGCACGACGTCGCGGTCTCGTGACGTATCGTCTGCCGATAGAAACTAATTTTCCTTTTACCCGGGATATCACTTTCGAGCGATCGCGACCGCTCCCACGTCTAATTGGGTCTCTAATGGCTGCAACGTGAGCCGTCTGCGGGCAATTTCCCTTCGGCGGGCTCGGGTTACGACGAAAGAGACAATACGAACGAGACCGATATATCATCGGCACAAGAAGTTATTGTGAATTAGGTGCGATCATGTTTCGGTGCTGATTTCTGATTCGTTGTTTCACAATTTTTGGGACTGTCAAGATGCTTCGTTGGACAATCCATTTATACCGGAGTATTTTGTAACAAAGCTCCTGTAACATTTTGATAAATGCAGTCTCTTATTCTCTTAGCCTTTTATCAGTATCTTATTTTTATTAAAAAACTAAATAAAAAATGTGACGCCTGAACCATTAATTTTGATTTATAAATTACGTAAAAATAATTATCTGCCTACAGATGTTTCATGGTTTTTGTAATAAGCACAGATCTATTACTAATAGCAACAGTTTTTAAATTACTGGGATTAATCTGACCCCGCAGGGTTCGCGGAAGGTTAAAAAGCAATTTGGTGCTCAAAAGAACTTCTGCTTAAAGTTTTTTTGCATACAATTGACCACAATTTTGGCACATCCATGAGCTTCGACTCTTAAGAAACTGATTAAACAATCAAACCCATTTGGAAACACCGTAGACGATTCCATTCATTTATCACAAACTTAACAAACCATATATTGGAAAAATACATAGTGTCAAAAATCCTTCATTAGACTTATCGTCAGGGTTACAAGGGGTCCGGCTAGAAAGCGCCAGCGCCGACAAAGCGTCGAACGTAGCCGACAAAGCGTCGCAATGAAGAAGAAGAGGAACAAAGGCTGGAGTTCGAAGATCTGTTGCATTGTCGTGCACAATGCGGCGAGCTTCTACAAAGAGCCAGGAAAATATTCGGAACGGTCTACCACAATGGCGACCGTGCCGCGTCGCTCGTCATATTCAGGAGCGGCCCGTTAATAAGTTTCTGGTGAAAATTAGATTTCCGTGTCCGTCCGTGTGACACGGAATGGCATGCAAAAGGCGGCGGCGTGTGTCCCGAATGTTTCGGCGTCGTCGTCGAGGAGCGAAATGGAACGAGAGCCTCGCCGCGAGGTAGGGGGAACGCGAGAAAACAGAGTTACATGCTGACGAAAGCCGCGCCGGTGGGAGTGCGAACGAAACGTGGATACCGGCCGCATCCGATAGGAATCGCATATGAGCCAGGCGGCGAGGATACCTGATATTTCAGCGGGGCTCAAACTAATCACGTACGGAGCGTTTTCTATGCACCTGGCAGGCAGGCCCGGGGACCGAGCATAAATAATTTCTTCAAATTAGAAATCGCGCTTTCGAACGCGGTGCCTCGCCCATCGACGCCGGACAAAATTCTACGGCACCCTAATGATTATGGAGATTGGATCTAGCGCTGGATCCAAGCTATAGATTCATAACTGAAATTGAGTAAGACGGTTTGCTAATGACGCGAAACCTGTGTAAATTCGTCGGGGAAATATCTTAGACAAGATTTTTACAAGTGAGACTGTTATGAAATAATTGCTTATAATATCTTCTCATGGGTATTCATCAACTTTCAAGGACGCAAATTGAAGCTGAGAGAACTCTCTTTTTCATCGATCAATTTCCAATTTGTAAAAAGTACGATATCGTGTCGAAAATCGAGAAACACCGATCAGAAACGCTGAGAGGCATAATTAAATTTAAAGACATGGGGCTCGTTCAAATTAATTGTCAATCCTTTCCGGCAGGAATTAGTTCACTTTTGAGAACGCAAATTGAAGCTAGAAGACTGTGCTTTGTCATAGATACATTTCCAATTTGTACAAATTACGACGTCGTGTCGAAAATCGAGGAATATCGACCGATAGCTCCTAACAGTACGATTCGACTTACAGGTATAAGGTTGTTTGAAATTAATTTCCCAATGCTTTCCCATAGGAATCTTTTGATACTCGACATCTAAAGTGAAAGCCAAAGAAGCATACTTTACGGCAGAGATAATCGTGAGAAGCCCCGGACACAGGATTTTGGTAGAAATAATTTATTATCAGTACAGTTGGTCGTCGAATAATTTAAGTGATCCATAAGTTAGGGTACAGTTATACATAAATACTAGTCTAGCAGTCGTGAGCCGAAGGGTCCGCGCCCACCAGGCTCTAGAGATATGGCGAATGGTTTCTCCATCGACGACAGAGCCGTCGAGATCATCTCTTTTAATGAGCTTCGTTCGTAACGGGCATTTGAGCTGCGTACGCCATAGCATGGGCGTCTTTCTCAGCTTCGAAGCTTCTCTTGTAATAACCTTGCTGCTGTGCCACGGCGCCGGATGACCAGCCTTGGCTGCCATTGTCGAGCCATGCCGGTTGAGTGTTCTTGCTGAAGAAGCTGGCTTGGCCTTTGTTCTCGCCGTTGAACAGCCTCTGGAAGGCCAAGACTCCGGCCACGAGCAGAGCGACCTTGCCAACGACGAGGGCCTTCGCCACCAGAAGTCCGAGACCTCCGAGAAGGATTGGCACCAGAGCGAACAGCTTCACTGCGACTGCGGCTACCACCGGCAGTATCAGCTTCTTCATCTTGCCGCGGCCTGAAAAGCGAGGAACGCGGTACAGAGCACACGCGATGCAGAAAGATCAGCGTGCGAAAATTACATAGAACAAGCGAACGGAACGATTATAAATAGTCTAACAAGCTGTACAAAGTTTAGAACCCGAAGCTAGAAAGGATGCTCAAGTGGGTCTTCTGTCGAGCCGGTACCAGGAACTTGGTGGCGATCTTCATAGAAATGACAGCCGTGACAAGAGCTCTCGGCAAACGTTCCACGTCAAATATTTAACCACGAATCTCCAGCACGCGGTCAGCCTTCCGGATCCATGAATGAACCGCCGACAGGACGAGTGTCCTTTCTTCGAGGTGAGGCGGGGGCCAAGGTTCCACGAGGAAAGGGAATCCGAGGAACAAGTTTGTCCGGTTAACAGGTTGCCGCGGCGCGTGTGGATGTCGCGAAGGTGAAAGGCTCTCTCTCTCTCTCTTTCTCTCTCTCTCTCCCTCTCTCTCTCTTTCTCGGTGAACAGTTCGTTCGTTCGTGACAGCGTCGAGACACCGCCACCGTCGTCGTCGGGAATGGGAGGGACGGGGATTACGTAATGGGCAACGGCGCTATCGTAGGCGATAGTTGGAAAGTTACCTTCGTCGAGAGCACGGGAAATAGAGGCGTCCTCGGGTATGCTCAGCTTCAGGCTGTGGCTCTTCACGAAGGACATCGCGGACTCGTAGAGCATGTTCACCAGCTTGATGGCGCGGTCGGACGCGTCCCTCGGCAGCTCGTTCATGATGTCCATTTCCGTCTTCAGGTCCTTGCCGTTGCGTTCCACTGGAACAAGCAATGAATCGTGTAGAGACACCCCCCTATCCGACGGTCCGAAAAATGTTGCCAGACTCGGTGCACCAAACATCGGAAGCTGCCTAAAACTGTACCTAGACCTTGAACGTTACGAACACTTCTCTAACACGCGGAACTATCAACGAGCCCACGGCTAAACGAACTACGAAACTCCACGATGTCCACCGGTAGCAAGGTCCAAACTCACTTGGCGTTTCCCGGACGAACTTGACGCCGTCGAAGATCTCGATGTCGCTGGACCTGGCGGCCCTGTTCAAGGTGCTGGCTGCCTTGACGAACATGCAGCTGAACATTGCATCCTCTTGCACCAGGCAATCGAGGTCCATGTTCGCCTGCGCGTCGATGCCGTCCGGCATGGGCACCGCCATCGCGGACGCGGCGAGAAGTCCCAGAATCACTGTCTTCATCATTCTGATTGTTTCTCGATCGGTGGATACTCTAGCGACGGAATAGACACGGTTCGGAGACGGTTCGGAGCACGTATCTCGGAAAATTTTCGGGACAAAGTGTGATCTGACCCTCCGTAGCGTCTATCTTTATAGGTCTGCACCGGCAGGGACCCTCCCCAATATCCCCACTCCGGGTTGCGATGACGCGTATGACGAGACCAAGGCACGCGTGAACCGTCATCGGTGGTTCCCTGACCACCTCCCCGCGGACGCGACAAACTTTCTTCGATAATTTTTTAAACAAACCGCCTCTCTGCCGACGAACCTCGGCCCGGCTGGGCGGACCTTAGTCTAAGCGATCCCTGATATTGGTGGGCCCGCGTGGGTCCCCGCGATTTGGGTCAGTAGGAAGGCGACGTTTTAGACGCTGCTCTTAGAGGATGCATCTCCCAGACGCTGCACCAAAACCAATTAGCTTAAGCGAGGCGAGGCTTTGTCTGAAACGAGCTTAGTCCTCGTCGGAAGTACTCGATGATGGAATCATGGACGATGGTTCATCCACGTTTAAGTTGCACTTGAGATCAGCGAATTGTGACAATTTTTCAATGACATGTTACGAGTCTGCCGATGGTTGTTCGCTTCGAGTTTTGCTAGTACACGATTGTTTTAGTCTCAGGTTTAGAGAAATACATCGTACGTTTGTTTAATCGAGACAGAACGAAGAGATGCAGAGAAATGAAACGCTTCATGCAAATCGAAGCAATGCTGGAATTTTAGATTGGCTCTCTATTCGGGAAAATATCGCGGAATCTTCGAGGCGTTGGGATTCCCGAAAGTGAGAAGCCGCCTGGTAAATTAGTCGTTAATTGCTAAATTAACGGTGTCCCTGATAATCGACCGAACGCTTGGAATACGCGCGCACGCTATTTTTAAGAGTTTCCATATTCATGTCGGAGACACTGAAAAGGCATCGGACTTGGTTGGCTCCTGATTTCAAAGTCATAACCACGTGGTAGCCGGCCCAGTCATCCGATAGGTATTAAAAGCCGTCATCTATAGTCCACGACACTCGTGGCTCGCATTCCACGCGACCCGATAGAAGAATTCGACGGAATCGGGCCCACGGGCCCGACAGATAAATGTACGACAGCCCGATGGCTGTTTGCTGACGATGTAATTAACAAATATTTCTCGTAATTCGTTTCATTCTGCTTTCGGAGATTGAAATATTTCGTGAATCTCTGCGTGTGATTTTTTTCTTTCATTTTTGAATTCGGCTCTCGAGAGTAGAAACACCGATTTTCCTATAAATTCCAAATGCATTCAGATGCGTCCACGTGCAGCGAGCGGCTCACCTTGACCCACAGACACGGCCACCGGGCGCTACAAGCCACGGATTACATCGGCATCGTCTGATATAATACCTATTCGAACAATTTCCCTGTTGTAAAAATATAATGTTCGCACCTGCCGGCGTGGTTAACGAAGAACGAAGTGTAAATTGTAAACGCGGATGGGATAGTAGGTGGACCAATGAGTAATCTAGTATCTTTTTCCGAGAATGAAAGGCCCAGGCTCATTAGTATTCCTCTCACACGATGTCCCGAGGCTAGTGAAAGACTAGCTATTTCCGATCGAAATTATTGTAAGCTCTAGGCTTGCGATCTTTTCTTTTTAAAAAAATTGTGCACTTTGAGTAATTAATTAATCTCTAGGACCCGTGCGGTTACATTTAAAAGTTTTGTTTCTAGAGAAATATTTTCACAAAATTTTGTTTTATTAAAACCAGGCGACAGCCGAATGAGGCGACAGAATTTTTCTGAACTCGTTTCCCGAAAAAGCTGTTTTTCCACTTTCTTTTATGACGAAACATTTCACATAGCTACGACCGGTTCCATTGAAACTTCTTTGTATTCTAGCATCCTCCGACCATACCATAAAATAGCACAGCCTATGAATGTTAATCGCGAAGCATTTCGTACCCGAATCCCGCAAAATCGGAATTCGAATATTCCCCAAATAGATCGCGCGCGATAAAGATCCGAACACCTGTTAACGTCGCGATTAGAAAGTCAAATTATGATCAAACGGTCCCAGACACTTGGTCACCGTGGCATTCCTATTCATTTCGCTGGTCACCCGCTGGTTGACGCTTTGCCAACCACGAATCCACTTAATCGAAGGTATTAATCTGTTAGTCTTCCAAAACTTAGCATTCAAAACAAATTTGAAGCAAAAAGTAATTAAGATCTTTCTCTTCACGGAAGCTTCTAACACAGAGAATTAATTATTCGTCCGCGATCTTTTACATCCAATTCACAATAATTTATAATTACAGAAAAAAGCATTAACACAGTATATATTAACACGCTTTGAAATTTGATGCAAGTTCAATAATTCGTCGAATAAATCGCAAGCAATGCACAATTTAAAAAATTTGCTCTTTCCTCCTTAGCAAATCGAACTCTTTTCTCGTATCTCACCAATTCGTTTGCGCCTCAAATGCACGAATCTGCAGCGAGCGCAGCTGCGAAAGAAAAATTTATAATTGCAGAAAAAACATTAACACAGCATATATTAACACGCTTTGAAATTTGATGCAAGTTCAATAATTCGTCGAATAAATCGCAAGCAATGGACAATTAAAAAAATCTGCTCTTTCCTCTTTAGCAAATCGAACTCTTTTCTCGTATCTCATCAATTCGTTTTCGCCTTAAATGCAGAAATCTGCAGCGAGCGCAGCTGCGAAAGAAATCGCGGAGGAATGTGACAGATCGCTAATCGATCTCGGATGGACATCGTCGGTTGCAGAACAACAAGAACCGCGAAGTAGCCCACCGAGCGTCATTTCTTCGTTGTACAAATGTTGAACAATGCAGCATCGGGGACATTTGTCAGCACCGGTAACCGGCTCGGAATGGCAACTGCCTTATTCGTCGCTCCATTGTCTGTCACGGGTCTCTTTAAATATTTAACAGCCGCGCGCGAAACCTCGTCATCTCTTTTCTCTCTGTTAACGGTATCCGCGGCTTCGAGGCGGTGGATTTTCGCGATTAATTATCTAGGTTACGGCCCTCCCCGAACTCGGTTACTTCCGATTACCTCCTCGACGCCGATCCCGTCCAGGAAACGAAGAGGTACGGCCGTTTGCGGAACGACCACGACGACGCAGATCCGTCGCGGCGACGAAAGAGAAACGGCCGTACAGAATGCTAACACCGCGGCGTTAAACGGTGAAACTTCTTTTTTTTCTCGTGTCTGCTCAATCCGCTTTCGACGATGATTCAATTCGGACCGGCGCTGTTGCGTCTCGATTACTTTCCTCCGGATCGATCCTTTTCGCGTAATTCCAATCCTTGTTTTCATTAGACCGCGCCCCCGATGACGCATGGGGAACTGCTCCAGCATACATATTTTCCATGGGAGATCACGAGAAACGTTGGCTAGAGACCGTTCGATTTTTCGAAGTATTCTGAGAAGTCCTGGAAGTCCGGCGACCCGATAAATCTGACCTCTTTTGGACCTTTGTTCGTTCTTCGAGAGAAGTATTGGCAGCTGTGCTTCGCACGAAGAAGTATACTGTTTTTTTTTAAATTATCAGACTTCTAAAATGTTTTTTTTTTCAACGAACAGATATTTAATCTTCTAATAATATTTCTCAGTAAAACGATCTTATGTTTCTGCTTTGAAAATATTTCTTTAAATATAAATCTTGTATATTAGGTTTCAAAAATTTTCTTTTTTAAAACGAAAGGGTACTTATGCTTTCAATAATATATTTTAATGAAAGGATCTCTTATATTGTGCTGCTTCTAAAATTTTTCGTTGCAAATAGATCTTGTGTTCAGGCTTCTAAATATTTTCTTTTCAGGACGATCAAATATTTATGCTTCTAATAATATTTCTCGATAAAAGGATCTTATACTATTGCTTCTGAAATTTTTCTTTGCAAAAACGAACAAATATTTATGCTTCGAATAACATTTACCAGTAAAAGGATCTTATATTGCTGCTTCAAAAATTTTTCTTTGCAAAAATATCTTGTGTTCAGGCTTCTAAATATTTTCTTCCCAGAACGATTGAATATTTATACATCTAACAATATATATATTTCTCTCACTAAAAGGATTTTGTACTGTTGCTTCTGAAATTTTTCTTTGCAAAAACGAACGAATATTTATGCTTCGAATAACATTCACCAATAAAAGGATCTTATATTGTTGCTCCTAAAAAATTTTCTTGCTTTTAAGATTTAGCTTTGCCCTTATAAAAATCTTGTGTACATTCGTCTAAAAATTCTCTCGACAAAACATTTATTAGGCCATTTTATTAGACCATTTTAGGCCCCTAAAACTCGTCTTTCATCTTCTACACTTCGTCCACCTAATGAGAAATGAACAAACGAAATGTTTAATCCTCAGATTAATCCGATCTTTCGTCTCCGCCGGTTTCAGTTTCCGCCGAACGATGCACGTGCCGGCACAAAGGAGTAAAGGAAAGGTCGATTACAATTGTAAACTGGTTCCGTATATTTTAACGGGAAGTCGAGGCTCGCCACGCGAGTTCCCGATGTGGTTCATAATTCTCGGAATCCGAAATGAACTTTCTCTCCGCGATGAAGCGGCTTGATTACGTAACGCCGAAGCCGAAGCGGCGCAAGACAATTAATTATACGGTATTGTTCGCGGTCTCATCCACGGGTTTGAATGACTCCCGCGGCCGGGATACAATCGACCGGGAAAATACTTTCTACGGTTCGCCGTGCGATATTTAACTTGGGGTAACCTTGATACCGGCCCAGTGTTTGCCGAACCTGTTGGCGGCTCCTGGCGCGCTAACTATGGCCAGCGAATTTTGCAACGGCTCGGACCCGATCCTCCGAAATACCGACGTGTTATTTCGCGGTGAAAACAAAGAACCGCCGGAGAGAAAGTTTTTTTTTCCACGTGTCGATCCGATTGACGTTTCTGTTAGCGTGGTCCCTCTGAGTTCTTCGTACAATAGTGTAATTTGAAATGATTATATCTTTAGCGGTCGTTTGTTTGTATCCATTAATCATTTTCGACCACAGAGTCGTTTAAATAAATTTACCGGAGATTTTTCTCTCGCACTGCTAATCGTTCACTGAATTCGTTACTGTACTTGCTAAACATCTGTTACAATTTGAAGGTTCTAAGTAAATTTCTGTCGAAGATATATTCAAATTTAGATTCCTAGCAGTAATTTGTAATAATAATAATAATCTCAAATAATCATCTGAAAATTTCTCATTTCTGTCAAGAATCTAATAAAATTTTATTTTCCATTAAATATCTATTATAGTTTTAAATTCCCGGCTACATTTCTGTGAAAAATATACTAAAATTTAAATTTCTATTAAAAATCTATTATAAGTTAAAATTTGTAATCGTTTGTAACNCCGCGATGAAGCGGCTTGATTACGTAACGCCGAAGCCGAAGCGGCGCAAGACAATTAATTATACGGTATTGTTCGCGGTCTCATCCACGGGTTTGAATGACTCCCGCGGCCGGGATACAATCGACCGGGAAAATACTTTCTACGGTTCGCCGTGCGATATTTAACTTGGGGTAACCTTGATACCGGCCCAGTGTTTGCCGAACCTGTTGGCGGCTCCTGGCGCGCTAACTATGGCCAGCGAATTTTGCAACGGCTCGGACCCGATCCTCCGAAATACCGACGTGTTATTTCGCGGTGAAAACAAAGAACCGCCGGAGAGAAAGTTTTTTTTTCCACGTGTCGATCCGATTGACGTTTCTGTTAGCGTGGTCCCTCTGAGTTCTTCGTACAATAGTGTAATTTGAAATGATTATATCTTTAGCGGTCGTTTGTTTGTATCCATTAATCATTTTCGACCACAGAGTCGTTTAAATAAATTTACCGGAGATTTTTCTCTCGCACTGCTAATCGTTCACTGAATTCGTTACTGTACTTGCTAAACATCTGTTACAATTTGAAGGTTCTAAGTAAATTTCTGTCGAAGATATATTCAAATTTAGATTCCTAGCAGTAATTTGTAATAATAATAATAATCTCAAATAATCATCTGAAAATTTCTCATTTCTGTCAAGAATCTAATAAAATTTTATTTTCCATTAAATATCTATTATAGTTTTAAATTCCCGGCTACATTTCTGTGAAAAATATACTAAAATTTAAATTTCTATTAAAAATCTATTATAAGTTAAAATTTATCATCGTTTGTAACTTGTTCGTAATTGAAATAATTATTTCTTCGATCTTGTAAAAGTTCGCTTTTGATGATTAATATTGGAGAAGGGTTAGTAATTTAAATTTTTATCAAAAATCTATTATAAGTTAAAATTTGTAATCGTTCGTAACTTGTTCGTAATTTAGGTAATTATTTCTTCGATCTTGTAAAGGTTCGCTTTTGATTATTAATATCGGAGAAGGGTTAGAAATTTAAATTTCTATCAAAAATCTATTATAAGTTAAAATTTCTAATCGCTCGTAACTTGTTCTTAATTTAGATAATTATTTCTTCGAACTTGTACAAGTTCGGTTTCGACGATTGCCATTGGAGAAGGGTTAATGAAGAGAAGAGATCATATAAAAATAAATACGATTCTTATTCACTTCCTTTTGCGTCTTTCGCTATAAAATTTGTAGGGTTCCGATTCCATGGACGCGCTGTCCGTCATGCCCAGCATGTCCTGCCTCCTGTATTTGCCATAAGTGGCTGCCTCGTAGCCGCCGCCGCCTGAATGGCTCTGCGCGACTTTCTTCAGGCCGACTATGGCTGCCAGGATCAGGCTCATTAGACTAAGGACCACCGCTTTGCCGCTCAAAATCGCTAACGTCTTCAACGTAATCGGCAGCAGGATAGACTTGATCAGCATGAATCCGACTAACAGGGGAATGAGGTATTTGTTCAGCTTCAGTTTCTTCCTCTTGGGCCCGCGTGCTGCAACAATGCGAATTTCACGTGAACAATCTACCGACCTCGAATCTCTCGCGATTCAGTCCAACCGCATTCTCATTCAATGGTAATTTATCCGATCCTAAATATTAATGCACTTTCAAATCCTCCGGATCTCGTTTCCACTTAACGGAGATTTAATCTATCCTAATTAACGTATTCGCAAGGAAGCTGAATAAATTCCGCGGGATCGGCGAATCACGAGTCAAAGGATGCTAACACCGAGCTTAGGATAAGTAGACTGCGGAGTACATTGAGGATACAAAGCGCGATCGAATTCGGTAACAATTTCGCTCGAACGGGTCGCCGTGAATTGCACACGGGAAATATTTTGCGTACGCAGACCACTGAACGGGATGACACGTTTCTGGAGCGTGGCTTGTCGCGTTAATTGCGAGCAGCCCGATAAATGTGCGATGCCGCGGCTAATGCGGGACATCGGAAACAGAAAGGCAGCGCTCCTTGTTAGTCGGCTCTCGAAATGGACATGGTAATAGGGTGAACTGGAGTGGAAAGCACTTGGGGTTTTTGTGTCGAACAGCCATGCACCATGAACGATTAAGGATCGTATTATGATCAGTATTAGAGACCGGTAACGAGAATGCGTAATTACATGGTCCTTTAAACGAGCTCATTAACATCCGACGATCCTAACGATCCGAATGATCTGGGGGAGCCGCTTCATCCGCTGCTCAACTATCCCTCGTGACGTATACTTGTGACAATATACGATATTTACTCATTTTATTCTGCCGGGAAAAACATACACAATGCTAAATATTAAACTGTTCGATGTTACCATTATTACTTGAAATTAAATCATAATTTTCTACGTGATATAGCTTCGATGAAATCGTAATTATCTTATTCGTCGATCTTGTAGATGCGATGCAATTAAGTATAGCATAAGGCTAGATAAAATAAATTTATGGCTAGATAAAATTGTTTCGAAGAATATGCACGCCGATTTCATGTATTAAATATCGCTTCATGAATTTCTGAAGACTGACTGCGCGAAATGATGCTTCGAAGGAAGCGGATGCTCGAACTGTGATTTTTGGTGCAATCTCCTTTGATTTCTAAATGGTCGACCCTTTCTTTTCAAAATTGAATACAGACATTGTAATATATATAAATATAAAAATTTAATTTATTTAAATATAAATATATAAATAAAATTCGCGTGCAATTAAGTTTACCTTCGACGGAAGACCTCGAAACAGGAAGTACAGTGTCAACAGCGTCCACGATCCCATCACTGATCAAGTCCATGGGACCCTCGGGGTCTTCCAGCTGCAGCTTCGACGCATCTTCGTGCATCGCAGTGGGCTGCGTGATCTCCGTGGCAATCAGCAGAGGCAGGAAGAGCAGCAGGAACAGCAGCAGCATCCTCCAGTCGCATCCGACACTGTCCTTCACCAGTGTCACGCCAGGATGTCGACGATCTTCTTCGATGTACACCTCTTCGGACGCAGAAAGACAACCGTTGGTAATCAAATGCGAGAGTTATACGCGACCGACGTCCGGCTGCTTCATCCACTGTTCTTAGGGGACAACCTCGTCCAGTGCAAATAAACGTAACCACGACAAATTAAAAGGGACATTAAACACGATATTGTTACTCGACAAATTGATCCTATTTAATCACTTTGCAGCTACGTGCTTCTTAAGACTGAAATTGCTAGACATTTTGCGTAATCAATTAAAAGCTATGTCTCCACGCACCGTGGATAATCGACAAACACTAGAAAAATTTGAAAGCTGTTCTCGCTCGTGTCTGCTCATTTTACAGCAGTTTATTTTGTAAAGAAAATTGTAAGATGTAATATGTGAACACTCGGAAGCTTCACAAGCTACCACTGAAGATCGTTCTTTTATTTCTGAGCGTTCTATGGCTATTAATAGATTAAATTGCTGACGTTAAAAGATGATCATTTGGAATTTTCAGCGGCGCCTTCTCGGAGGCGAACGACCAATTAAACAATTTATGGAAAGAGTATCCAAGAGGATACTCGTCCGAGCACAGAGATGAGCCCTCAATGTGGACAAAGGTTCCGGATGTTCAGTCGCACGTCGTCGATACCTCCTCGTTGAAGGAAAATTGTATAACGATCGCCAACGTACAGCGAAGGAAACGCAGCACGCGAACGAACAATGGCTGCAGGCCGGCCTCGGGATTGGTCCCGGCTTCGGACGAGCGTACGCGGAGGAACGGGGCGGAAAGGATCTCACAGAGGCGACGAACCGACCCGCTGGCAAATGAAATGTCAACTGACATTCGTCCTAGGCCGGACCATTAGTTTATATAGCAGCCACGCGAAAAGCTCAGAGAAGGAGACCACCATCATGATGCTGGTACTGGCGCGTGACGGAGGATTCGTCGTCGATCCACCACCGTGTTGCTGCTCTCTCTCCGACCATTGGACGGGCTTCTCAGCGGGGCAGAGTTCTCCCCCGAATATTACCGAACGTTGTCCGCGGAACCGCCATCGAGGAACACCGCGTTCCCGTGAAAAGCGCCGGGAGATCTAGCACCGTCTCGATCACTGATCGCGCTTCGTTTCACACTCGAGTAAGCCTCTGGATGAGTTCATGGCGGCCTCTTTTACCGCGAACGGCGGCGAGCGCGCCGGTCGCGGGAGACAATGGCCCCGGGGCTGATCGAAAACGATCGTCGGGAAATTAATTGTTCGCCAATCGATCGTTACTTCGCAGCGTGTTGTTCTCGAACGTTTTTTCTAATTCAGATTGGATGCAGTTCTCGAATTTTCGCAGTGGCATTGTTGGAAGCGCATGTTGACGCAGAAGATTGGAAGCGCTTTGGAATTTTTCTCAAATGAATTTTCCATGGGGGTCGAAGTTCTCGATATTCTTGTACAGGCGGATGATTCGGAACATTTTTATTTCGACAGAAAAATTTTCGTCTGATTTCAGGCGCTTTTTTGTATTATTAAAATGGACGAAGTTCCTCGTGTTCCTGGCAAGCTGAAATTTGTTATGGGTTTCCAATTTAACCGCGGAACATATGTATCTTACAGAAAACGTTTAATCTTAATTTGCACACGTTTTTAGAATTCTCTAAGCTTCATCATGGAATATAAATTTATCAACTTTTCGAGAAAGCTATGAATTCGGTGCAGACTCCATTTAGGAGTTCTTAAAATGTGTTTACCGTAAGGGATGATATTTTTAAGTGACCTTCGCTTAACAGCGCAAACAGCAGTTGACCTTCGACGTTAACAGCGTCGATGTATAATTTAAAAAATTGAAAACACGTTTCAAAACTCATCTCGCCGACTGAAAAATTCCATAGCCTAAAATTTGCAAATGTCATTCTTGCAGACATTTTCACGGTCATTGAAGAACCACCGTGAGAGAGTGCACCCCATTCCGCCTCGCAGCCGCGACACACCGTATAATTTGTGAAAAAGAGAACCCAGTTGTGCCCCGTTACCACCGGCAATTAAAAAGAAACGATCGCGGCACGCCTAGCATTGTGATTAATAAGCGGCTCATCTCTCGGTTGAACGTACCGCGTTCACCGCGAACGTTTCAATTAACAGTCACGGGACGTTTCTCTAATTACTCGCGATCACGTGACGGACGAGGGTTCATAAATCTTCTAGAGGCGCAGTCGTGACGCTGCACGATCGTCGAGAATGGAATAGCGTTCGTGATCGAACGAACTCGGTGCTCTTCGGCTGACTTCTTTCGCGTTCTGTACTCGGTCGCATGTTTATGGCCGTAGCGTGATCACTGTTACTATACTCGAGAATAATGTAATTACGATTTTTACATGGGAAGCGAATTCTTCCTAGAATGTTGCAGTTGCAAATATATTTGTGCGCAACAACGAGGAACGAAGAAGCCCGCGCCTGTTCAATCACTGTCATCGTTACAGTACCCTTTTCATCTTTCCGTCGACGCTCCGTTCTTGCAACGATCGATGCTACTATTTCATTTTCAAGGGAACGTAACGGTCGCACCGGAAACGACCGTCTATGCGTTTCAACGAAGTTGCTAAATCGTAGATATTAACGTTCAATACCCGACGGGAACATTTATTTCCTCTAGCGACGCGATTAGCGACGCTTTCTTATTTATTGAAATATTTCATACTTCTTTAGATTAGAATATTCTTTATCCGACGTTTTAGGGTTGCTTCTTTAGAGGACACAGAGATCTCATCGAGCAGAAATTAACACCAGATTTACAGAGCACAAAAAAGCGTAGTAACAATAAGACATTTTATTCGGATTTTCAACAAGTGTTATTGAATAAATAACTCATAAATGTATCTTTGCGATACGAATAATCGTAAGTTAAAAAATTAGTGACTCGTCATTTTGACGGGTTCCGTAAATCAAACGATTTTTAATTAAAGCAACACACCGTTTAAAATTCACTCTTTCTCAGAAAATGAGCTCGATAAGTCTATTTGTCTATTCATTGCATCGATCAGTAAAAACAGCAAGCGATGATCGGACACATCGGTCAAATCCAATTGATCCAGCGAAATCAAAGGGTCCCAGAAACAATTTTCATTTTCCACTTTCTCCCAATTTCTGTCATCTCGTGTACTGGCAAAACTGAAAAGGTATTAAACATTTCGATGAAGAAGCGTCCGAGTGGTCGCCATAGGAAATGACTTCCCGATAGCTTCCTGATATTAATCGAACGTTAAGTGTCGGGGCATCGGCGTCTCTGTTGAAACGCACCGGTGGTCGTTCGTTCCCGGTTTGACCGTTACGTTTCCTTGAAAATGAAATAGCAGCATTGATCATTACGTCGACATGCAACGACCGAGCGTTGAAGGAAAGAGCAAAAGGGGACTGTAATGATGATAGTGATTTAACAGGCGTAGGCTTGTTCGTTCCCCGGCGTTCTATCAACTCGGTTGCCCCCTGTACCGTTCCACGAGCAATTATCCGCGCGTCCCGTGGAAGCCGAGGACAATTTCGCTGCTTCCTGCGTGAACACGGGACAATGTTCTTTCAGATGGCAGATGAATAAAACTGCGGCCGAGGACATCTGGGTCCCTCGCTTCATACGCGAGAGATTCGAGTAATGCGGCCGTCACTCTCGTGATTAATGATTTTCGTAGCCACGGCGACCTGCATATCGCAGCCTGAAATTTTCCACCATGACGGATCGCTGCGATCCATATCTATTTTTATGTTTTTACGGTTACCGAAACGGGCCGCGCGGAAAATTGCGCGCAAAGATGCATCCGCGGTTCGAGTATCGATTTATTTAATCGGACGCTGACTTGCGTAGTTCGCCATGATGGATCCGTATCTATTTTTCTATTTCACAGTTCACCGAAACGGACCGAATTTAACCCCTTGCCATATTTTGACGAGTCTGACTCGTTTTTATACTTATTGACATGTATTTGACATTTTTATATTTAACCTATCAGGTATGGATGTTATTCCATTTTTTTAAACCGGAATACAATTCTGTACTTTTGACGTCAATATTTAAGTATTCAAATTGATGTACAATACACATAATAAATATATATATATATATTTTTTTCTTTGTCTTCTAAAGAATGATTACAATCGAAAGCTTTTACACTCGCTTTAATCACGAAGAAAATGGTACGACAAAGGGTTAAGAATACTCGGTTCAGATGAACAAACATCGTAGCCGCGTTCGCACGAATTTGAATTATCGAATATTATTATAAAACATCGAATTATTATTATTAGTCCGAAGTTTTCGCGTCATCGGGTTTCACTGTTTGCTTAATCGCACGGTGCAAACGCCGGATACAATTGGCGCACGGTTTATGGGCAACGGGATCACGTGAAATTTTCCATGTCCGATATTTTATTGCCGTTTCCAATAAGCAACGAAAGTCCGGGAAAGTGTGGAACAAGAATCGAGGGTGAACAAGGGGGCGGTACAGTTAGAGACCGCTTAATCGACACCATAGAGCGGCCGGTAATAGGCGGCTTTCCATGGACGATGCAGGATGTTCGGCGTTTCGTGGAATGCGGGTGTTTCGGTGCGCGATAAATCGCATCGCGTGCCGGTATCGTTTCTAACCAGACCTACGCGCGGATCGCGTTTTTCACCGGAACTAGAAACTCTGTGTTCAATTGTCGACAGAAAAACTGACCGACTGGGACGAAGAAAGAGCGTCCATTGTTTGGAAAACGGCTTCTTTCGGCGGAAATGTCTCGAACCAGCAAGAAATCGAACTGTGGTCGCTGTGGACTGCGGATCTTTACGCATTTGTGGCGCATCACAGATTTATCAAATGCTAGGAAACGTATCAGTTAACAACGTCTAATAGCATTTACATTTTCTTTTAAGGGATGAAAATGCTTGAACTCTCTCGATGCTGGAAAGAATTTTGTTGGTGAAGTACTTGGATTCTTGCAACAATTGAATTTTAAGTTGTCGATAAATGTGACTGAGCCAGTGTTACTTGGATTAAACAGATTGAAAGATTGAGTAATCTTTTAGCTGATCAAGAAAACGTTTCTTCAATCATAATTTTTGTAAAATAACGTACGGGAATGAGATTTTGCATAAATAGTCGTCTAATAATCACGCAGAAAAACGTTTAATCCAAGCAACACTGGCTCAGTCACATTTATCGACAGTTTAAAATTCATTTGTTACACAATTCCAAGCACTTTACCAAAAAATTCTTTCTAACATCGAGTTCAAGCATTTTCATCCCTTAAGTTGTCAAATGTACAAACCTCCCAGTTACCGTTAAATTTAACTTTAAGGGTTTCTAGCTCTTCGTAGATCATATACAATTAAAAACTGACGACCTTAAAATCAGAGAAAAAAAAAGAGAAAAAAATTCAAGCAACCCCTAACTATTAAACCCTGATCCTCCGCGCTCTGTAAACGGGAATCCTAAATCGTTCTATCATGGAAAAACGGTGACTATATTTCTAAATAGAGTCGATTCGAATCCATCCCCAATGAAATCCGCGCGATATCACCGTTTTCCAATTAAACCACCGATCGTCCGAAGGCTCGGCGATTATCGAATCCCGGAGGCCAACCCCGTAGCGACACATTCCGCGGCTCCCCTCCGCTCAGCTTTCCCCGATCGACCCGCCCAGATCCGAGCAATCATCGATCAGTGACAACGGGCGGTTGTTGTTATCGGCCCGGTTGCCAGCGCAGCGTAACTCAAAAATGCAAAGTGCTCCGCGACACGTGTCTCGTCGAGTAATTGCGATCCCCTCCCCCCGACGTCCCCGCATGGACGACACCCTAGACCCGCAGATTCGCCGCGTCCGAACGATAAGAGGCAGCGCCGAGACTGTACTGTATAACAATTTAGCATGACATATATATCGGCGGGATCAGAATTTGGATCACAGTACTTACCGCGCACACATACATGTATGCGACGGCTCGTCGCGCGGTGCTCATTTTTCACGGACTGCCGATCCCGCTGGCAACTGAAGCGTACCCGGCGTGGTACCCCGGCCGGCCCCCCTCGGATCCACGGCGAGGAATCAAGAGCGGATCGGTTAGTTCACGGTCGCTCGCTGCTCAGGTCGTTCCGTCGACAGACCATTCGTCATTTGCATTTGTCGAGCCGATCCACGTCACGGAATTATTAACTGGCCGCAGTGACTTCCAGCGGCCCTGGTCCTCGGATTCCGCCGCTCTGCATCCGCGGTGAGTCCTGCACACGATTTACTGTCCACCCCCTACGTTCGACTGCCGACGTTTCTCGAGACACGGCGTCTCCCAGCGGTCACGATTTTTACGAATCGCGCGGTCCCGGCGGATCTTGCACGCGCTCCTCGCCACTTATTTCTATCGCTTTCGACATTCTCTGATCACTTTTCGGTTCTTCCTGCCTGCGAAAACGAGACCGCCGAATGAGACAGTTCATTGACATCGCGTACACTTCGTGTGAAACAGAGATCCGTTGCAACGGATGCAACGGATTTAAACCGCTTCGGGGTTTTTGTTCGTCTTTAATGAATTTAAAGGATCGAAAGGGACAATTACCACGTCGGCCCAAAAGACGCTTTCGTCTTCGACCAAATTCAAAACAGTTCTTCGAACGACCATTTGGTGAGATTCGAGATCGAATCGAAGACCGAATCGTAGAACATTGTCCAACGGATGTTCCGAAAGGGTCATTCGAAGCAGCCTAATATCTCTGAGAAGCGTGCAAGGATCAAGCATCGTCCCCCACGATTTCTCCCGACTTCTCGAAGGTTGCAAAAGCTAAAGAACGCATGTTTCAGTGACATTTTCAGCAACATCCAGGGGTAGTCATGTAACCGCTCGTCGTTGCACCCGAGGAAGGACTGGACGAGATCCTTGAGACGGATGTCCGCCATCTTGCGAAGCCCCGGTTGCCCCGAGAATGTGATTGGGGATCGTGGATGATCGTGGACAGTACTCCGGTGAACCCGTTCGCGCGAACATGCGATCGAGAGTGAACGTAGTCGCGGTTCTATTGACTCTGAGCTGCGTGGTTCGGCTGCTCGAGACCTCGAGGTCCGCCGTTAGGTACCAAGAGCAGAATTTGGAGAAGATCGTCCGCAAGGATCATGTCTCTGCTGGGAAGAAGGTGCTTGTCAAGGGGCCGCAGAACAAGGTGACACCGAATACCGCGGTGCTTTTGTTAGTCGAGGATAAGAACAAGCCTGTCAAGAAGCAGACGAAGAACAACGACTTGCCCGCGTCGAAGGACTACTTGACTGGAGGTAACATGTAGATGAGTTGTTGTTAATTTCTCAGTATACTGTTGAGTATTTCGCGGCTTCTCTAGGGATTCTGATGCTTCGTTTTCCATTAAATTAATATTTCTCGGATCCTGCGAATTATTCGAGTCGTGTCAATTTAAGATTGACTCTGCAAAGAGTACTATTTATGATGGAACACAAGTTATCTTATCTCCTTTAACACTTTTTAGAGTTAATGTTAATGAAAATTAAAGTACGTCTGTTTAAAGCACGATCAAGGTATTTGATTCTCCTGTTAGATATGCCTTAGAATTTAGCATTGTTATAATTCAGATTATAAGAACGTCTTAAACAATCCTAACCGAATGTTCGTCAGGAAAGATGCCACTTTCTATCCAGTAAAATGTATCAAACATTTCAAACAGTCTCGATCGTATCTCGATCTTGGAGATCAAGATGTCTCAATGGAGACTCCTTTAATACCTCTAATATTACCGCCATTAACTTCCTGATTCGACTTCCTCCGGCGATCCAACTGAAAAAGCCCGTTAGCTGACCGTGTCAACATCAGAAGCCAGAAGTACCGTTTGCAAATAGATTTATTAACACGCGTTAACTGGTTAAGATCGCGGTACAGGTGATTTTAGGGGCTAACCGGTGGTTCCGATTTTCCAGGTGGGCCGCGACGAAAGATGCAGAAGATGGATCGCACGATGATGGCCCTGCTGATCGCCTACAAGATGAAGTTCGTCGCGCTGATCCCGACCATGGTCGGCGGTCTCATCCTCTTGAAAGCCACCGCTCTGCTCGCGGGTTTCTTCTTCGCGCTGTTCGCCGCGGTTCTCGGACTGAAGGTCCACTGAAGGTCGATCGACCATCGACGGATCCTCGGGGGGCGGCCGGACGGTCAAGGTCATGGCATCGGATCTCAACGCGTTAGTTATCGCTGACCATTATCGTTTTATTCCGTAACAGCTCGCAGACCAAACGGCTCGATCCGTGATTAAAGAAAATCAGAGACAATTCTTTCGATCGGCAATTCTTTGGATCGACGATAGATCCCGAGCCGATCGTTCTACGATAACTTGCGATACATATATATATAAATGTGTGTGTAACATGCAATGGAGAATCATTAAAGTCGTTTTGATCTTCCTGTTCGATTCTGTGCCTCTTTATTCGGTCAGTCTTCGTAAATCGGCCGCGCTGCCACTGGCGACGGCGAACGAACGCGAGGACACGCTTGAAAATCGTGACAATAAATACATGGCGATCGTGGTAATAAATAGTACAGCTTAAGGAATATTTCAGAGCTTACAGCTACGGCATATGTTATATTGAGACAGCGTCCACGAAACGACCGGAAAATGTCCGTACAATCTCCTTTCGCTGCGCGCTCAGATTTTTCGGTCCAGAATCCACGGATCCCGCGTGTTGTACGAACGGCGTTTGCCAGCCGTTTCGATCGTCGACGCAAAATACAGCTCGTCCCGGTTCCGTTAGAAACTCGCGTGCGTGAAAATTGCTGACATCGACGTCAGCTTAATTATATTCGTCGCTGGTGTACAAACTACGAACTGCAATCGAACTGCATATTTCTCGAGGCTCATCAGTCGGTGTCCAAACGGGAAATTTCAGCGATATTCATATCGATCGAGTTAAACTAGAACTTAGGTGAGCAAGTGATCCTTGTAGATAAATTCAATAATTAGCAATTATCAAAAATCAGCGATTATCCGATGCTTGTGTAATTAATAGAGTCGAAATTTGAATTTTTACCTACGATACAATTTCAATCTAATTGAAAAACTTGCTATTCCGACATCAAATTTCGATCCATATTCTCGCGAGCAAAGCAGAAATTCCATCGTTGCGATTTACCCGTTGGAATCGTCGAGATTACAAATGAAAATTGACAGCGGTAACTCGAAGCTTCTTTCAGCGAAGAGCAGAAATTTCGATTTCCTCGGAGCACGAACCCGAAGCGGCGTGCAAGTGGTTGCGGTACCGTTGGAAGTTCGCGTGCGAGAAAATTACGACATCGTCGTCGTTGTGTCACGTAAAATCGTTCGAATGCGAGCGACAGTTTAAGTGCATCTGGCGACAGTTGAATCCCTCGAGCGGACACAGAAGAAGACGACGAAGCCCCGATTAAAATAATTGCAACGATTCCTGTCGCTCTGGGCACCAGCTTCGGTAACAAGTTCGGTAATAAGTTCACCAGATAATCCGTCGTGAAATCTCTCTGTATTAGCCATGAAGACGAGACAACGGAGTCCGCGGAAACGATTCGAACGTGGAAGCCTGTAAGTGGATAATAGCAGCCCGTGAAGTGCAATTTCAGGGCGTTCTAACACCCTCCAGAATACCAGCGATCGTTCTCAATCTTTCCACGAAACCTTTTCCAACAACGGAGAGACCGTACGGGTCCCGAACAGAATGTCGTCACTACAGATTAACAGTCCAATTATCTCGATCCGTGATCGCGATCGATGATCGGCTAGAAGCGTCGCTTGCCAACGGAACCGGAGGACGTCCTCGCCCGCATCAATGAAGATGTCTCGCGGAGTAGGCCAGACTCTGCGCGTAATTCTGCATCTCCTCGGTGGTGGATGGCAGCATGGTCGCCGAGACGGCCTTGAGACTTCTGTCCCAGCCTCCTCCGCTCTGCTGCCAGCCGCCGTGGTCGTGACTCTGCTTCTGGCTGAGCAGCTTCTTCAGCCCGATGATGAGCGACAGAACCAGCGCGATCTTGCTGATGATGAGCGCTTTTCCGGCGAGCAAGAACAATACTCCCAGTGCAATGGGTATGAGAGCAGCCATCTTCATAGCTACGCCCATCATCATCATGCCCATCATCTTCTTCATCTTGCCTCTGCCCTCTTCCATGCCCCGCTTCAGCTCTCCAGGAGTGGTTTTCGGAAGACGTATCTGCACGTTGAAGCTGTTCAGCAAGGAAGCGACCCGATCCAGCAGGATCTCGTTCAGGATCTCGTCCTTGCTAGCCGCGTTTCTGCCCAGACTGGCCTCCAGGTCCGTCACGGTGCTCTTCGGGGGCTCGTCGGAGGTCCTGACGAGCTCGAAGGTCTCCGACAGCGGCAGGCTGCGCATTCTACCTAGTCTCTCGAAGAACGAGATCGCCTTCTTCTTGAGGCAAGGCGAGATGCCGATGTTCCTCTGCTGGCAGTCCTCGTAGACCCGGTGCATCGCCCTGAGCCCCCTGTCGACGAGGCTGTCCTCGTCCTTGACGGTGGAGGTCGCGTGGACCAGCGCACAGCCGGCGAACAAGAGAAACACACACTTGAGGAGATCCATCTTCCGTCTTCGGAGGCAACGTATAATAATCCTTGGATCGGAGGAGAGTCGAGCGGACGTTTGTTTGTTCACCACGACAGGATCGTTCACACTTTCGCGGTCTTCAGGATCCTCGACTAGAGAGAACTGGCGTCAGGACAAGATATTCGAGCCGATATATACCATCCGGCGAAGCATCGGAGATTCCCGGACGGGGGTGGGCCGGTTCTCCCACGTATGGGGCCACTGTGCCCAACACCGTGGACCCCGCGCACGTGACACGGGCCCCTCTCGGGCTCCCTGGGGCCCCGGACGTCCGCGGAAGCGTCCTCTATTCTTCGTCGGTTCACGCCGCTCGCGTTCGCTCGATCCTTTTCTCAAGATCCCGCCCCGGCCCCCGCCGGGCCCCGCGGATCCAGCCACCGAGGATTCTCACGTAGAGCATGTGACCCATCCTGACACAGAGACCCACTGAGAGGCACCGCGAAGGTGGAACGTCTATGCGCCTCTCGGTCGTTAAGTTTCGCTGATGCTACTCGGGATTCGCTCCGAGCTGCACACGGAGTGGGGGGACGATGTGCCGCGATGCACTAGAGGATACACTGACAGGAATCCTATTGGCGTACCTGGCACCGTGACCCCACGGTCGACCTTTCGGGATCGTCGTGACGCTCGAAAGTAGTTTTAGGTCGTGGACGGTCCGCGGCCTTACTCTCTCGCGTCTCTATAGCCCTGCTGCCTCTTCCTGCCCCCTCTTCTTCCACCCTATTCGACTCGCGCTCCGTCTCTCGCTTCGTCGTCTCGTTGCTCGCACGGAGCTATTTACGATCTAGATTTGATCGAGTGTAAAGCCATCGACGTTAAACGGATCTCACGAAAATCGGTGCACGGAGTTTCTCCGCTTGGTATCGATCCGGTCGCTTTGTTTTCTGTGTTAGGGTCAGCCGCGCTCCTCTCTTCTTCCGCGGACGATGATGACCAGTCCATCCGAGCCGGTGAAATCCCCTTGTTTTCCTCCGGGCGGCCTGCGACACCGTGACCGATTCATCCGACTTCCGATCCGTCGTCGCGATCGATTACGCCGAGCGACTCGACCGCTTCGCGTGCTTCGCGCGAGACGAGCTCTTCAACTTCGGCTGGAAGCACGAGTGATGATCGTTTCCGCTTTTGATCGGCGAGGATCGCGCTACAGGTATCTGGGCTATGCCAATTTGAGGTCCGTCGAGAAATGAGACCTTTTTGGTTGGACTAGTTGCTCGATCATTCCGCCAGGTCTGTTTTTGTTACTCGGAGAATTAAAATATAAAGTAAATTGAAAATATAGTGCAGAGTGATATGAATATTCGAAGCGCCAGATTTCATGTTTATTAGTTTTTACAGGGAATCGTTTTGCATGTGGGTTACCTTGGACTTAGTTGATTATAGGGGTAAAAAGTATTTAAATTAGAGATGAACCTGATAATTGGAGGACCGAATAATCGGAGTTCAACTGTGTTAAGATTTCGAAGACGCTTCGCATAATCTCGGTTTGATAACGATGAGAAAAAGTGCCTGCTACATTATTTGTTTACATTTCTGAAACCGCATAAGAAATGCAGAAGCTCTAATCGCAGGCGAAAGATTAAAGATCACAGTAGTATTGTGGAATTAAGCTGATTATGTGGGGAAAGTATTTGGACAATAAAAAATTCTGATATTAGAGCTACTGTACCTGCATTTTAATAGTGCTGAATAGAGTTATATAGTCACTGAATAAGCCTAATCGTCAACGGAACCACAATTCATAGAAACATAAAGGAACTTCCATTTCCTTTACCTGAAGATGAAGTTCTTTAATAACGTTTCGGCACATGACCCCTTTCTCGACGCAAGCATCTTTATGAACGGTTCAACAGCCACGAATCCGTGAAATTGTTCCGACCGATTCGAAATTGCATCATTGTTCGCTTCCGATCAGGGGATTAATTGCTACCTCCGAGGCACGATCGAGAGAATTGGCTGGAGGCGATGACGTATCGGACGAGTCATTCGATCGAATTCTACAAAGCTGCGCGAGCAACTTCGTGCTTCTCGATTGCGAGATGGTACACGTAATACACAGGCGAGAGGAGATTACGTCTGGCTAAAAGTGAACCGCATCTGTTGCACCTTTTTTGCCGGTTACACCAGACCGCGCCGCTTCACCTTCACTCGTGCTCTTCTTCTTTTTCCAATAGCTGTTGGGCGTGGCCGAGTCCGAAGAGAGAGAGAGAGAGAGAGAGAGAGAGAGAGAGAGAGAGAGAGACAGAGAGAGAGAGAGAGAGACGCACCTGGCGCACCTGTGGATTGTATTAGCTGATCGGAACGCGTGAAACCCCGGCTAATGCCCGAGCATTGCGAATCTTAATTATCGACGCGTAACATCAGCCACTGTTCGGCATTCATTCCGGTTGTTATTCAATTGCCTTCTCCCTCGTCTGTGTTCACTATGTTTGAGAACGTTTTCACAAGATCAGGATTGATGCAAATCAATCTTAGAAATGCATTTCCATTGTCTAAAATCGATATCCACTGAAACAATCTCCCGTTTCTTCCTTAGCAGTGTTCTTCCTGTTTATGCTAATCTTATTTTTTGTTAGTTTGAGGATCTTATACGGCATTATTCTCTATTATTTTCGCTATTTTTTTCTGATTTATTTAATTATCTTGATCTGTATTGATTATATTGTTTTATATATGACTATATTGATTATATTGATTTATATATGACTATATTGATTATATTGATTTAAATATGACTATATTGATTATATTGATTTATATATGACTATATTGATTATATTGATTTATACATGACTATATTAATTATATTGATTTATATATGACTATATTGATTGTATTGATTTATATATGACTATATTGATTCTATTGATATATATATGACTATATTGATTATATTGATTTATATACGACCATATTGATCATATTGATTTATATATGACTATATTGATCATATTGATTTATATATGACTATATTGATTATATTGATTTATATATGACTATATTGATCATATTGATTTATATGTGACCATATTGATCATATTGATTTACATATGACTATATTGATCATATTGATTTATATATGACCATATTGATTATATTGATTTACATATGACTATATTGATTTTATTGTATCCTTTCATTGTATCGGTTCTTTCCTTTTTTTCTTTCTAATATGCTATTTCTGCGACACAGGGGCATTTCTCCCGTTGATCAAGTAAATAATAATGATTATTATCATTCACACGCAATGAATATTGTCTGTATTAGTCGCGACAGTTCGAATGAATCCCGAACAATAAAACAGAAATATATCTTCGCAACCTTCCATCCCGATTCTGTCGCGAATGCATAATTCAACTTTCGATCTGGAACTGCGAAACTAGGCTACTCATGAATGCAACGGAACAGTTAAATTATTAATACCGCGTAGGCTACACATATTTATGTAAATTCAAGTTTCTAAAGACTAATTGAGTGGGTTTCGGTTACTAAACTCGACTACGTATCCACCGCGAAACGTGAACAGCGCCGTGTTTGTAACAAACTCGTCAAGATACGCGATCTGATTTATAGTTCTTCACGTTCGGTATATTAAATGCCCGTGTATCTTGTTGCAATAGCAAAACAACGCGCGGCGACCTCGAAAGCGGCGATCGTTCAGGATCCAAGCGATGTATGTGTTTTTCCGCTGTCGAAAAAAAGCGTCGTTTACGATCCAGAAATTAAGGGGGACGCGGTTTTCCACGGTGCAACACCCGAAGGCGTCCCGTTGTCGCACAATTCTGGCAGTGAATCCATCAAACAGAATGTGTCACTGTGCCGATCTCACAATCGCGTAACGCCTGGCACAAGCTCGATCGAGGTTAACGCATCTCTAATGCGACAACGTAGCATCCTCCATTCTGCCGGCTTACCTACATTCACGATTATCCCATACCGAGCTGAACAGTGTTAACGCGCGTGCCACATTCGCGCCGGCACGCGGTTTGAATTTCGCAGGAGCCGCGAGGAACGGATTCCACGGGTGGCGGACAATGCTCGCGCCGCGGCCGGAAGCGCAGCGGGAACCGGCCGGAAAGATGCCGCGGTCCAAGGAACAGAGACGAGGATGATCGCGGCGTGGTTTCCGGATCGAGATCGGCCGCCGAAGATCCAGCGGTCTGTGTTGCCCGACAGCGAAAGTCAATGGTATTAACATAACGCTGCCGAGATTCCATTTAACTGCGAGTGAGCTCGAAAATGAGATTCGGCGTAACGATCGGTGGCTGAATTTTAATCGTCGGAGGCCGGGCTCCAGTTTAACGAGCGAATTCGAAATGATTTTGACGCGCCAGTGTTGATCTGACTCGCTACGCTGCGATCTTCATCGAAAGTCTAACGGAAGACGCTGGGTTTCTGTGTTAACGTCGGGATCCCGCGGCTGATTTCGATATTAAACGTAATTAAAAGCAACGGGCGAATGATCTTCCTCGCGAGAGTGACGGGATCGCAATTTATTTCGATTTTACGCGATCTTTGTGGGAAAGTCTGCTTGAATGAATACATTTATTACACCATTTTCCATCGTTGTGATTTCGGTAATTGTCGAATTGAAAATATGGAACGCGTCGTTTAACCGGCGTTTGATAGATTCGGTGTTAAAATTTCGCTTCACGGAAACGTTTTTCGAATTTGAGTTCTGAGACTGGAATCTGTGACCTAGAAGCCGCGTCGCGACATTGAGTTGAAATTTTGCAAGTTGAATTCTTTGAATCGTAACAGCAGGATTTAGATCTGATCCCTGGCGCTCCAATTAAAATTGTATTGTCGGGATTTGAATTGTAAACGACGGCTTTCGATTCGCGTTTAAACGTCATCGTTCGCATGAACTCATTCGAATCCGTTGAGGTGCCGGATTAAGTTTGAGGACGCATCCTCCATTGTTGCAGAGGAAAGTTGATTTGTCGTCGAACGAGGACACCGGGAATTAGTAACGGAATATATTACTGTCAGCGTTACAGTATATACTCACCCGAAGGGAATCCTGCTTAAGTTTCTCTATTACCACGACCTCGTGATACGATCTATTAACCACAATGGGGATTACGAACTGATTCAAGCAGCCTGATAACATCGATCCATCGAAATCCGTTACAGAACTCGACGTATAGAAAAATTTAGCATCCTAAGTGCTAATAATTGCGAGTTCAATTAATACGGTGAATGTTGTTGAGCTTCGCTCCTGAAGATATTACATATATTATTACAGCAAATTCTGAATCAGTTCGGGATTCCGAACTGATTCAAGCAGCCTGATAACATCGATCCTTGGAAATCCGTTACAGAACTCGACGTATAGAAAAATTTAGCATCCTAAGTGCTAATAATTGCGAGTTCAATTAATACTGTGAATGTTGTTGAGCTTCGCTCCTGAAGATATTACATATATTACTACAGCA